GGTCCATGAAGCGCGTGACCCGTCTCACTTGTCATAGGTCGTGACACGGATTTTGGACAGAATCTGATTGAATTATTGTAACACATTTAACATTAAAAGATAATGCTGTAATTTAGAGTAACAAAGACATATAAGAGAATTTTTATTCATTATTTAAAGTTTATCTTAGTAGATTTTATACATTTGAATGTATAATTTATATGTTCTAATATTGTTGCACGGGATTGTTAGATTTAGTTTAATATTTACGCTTCAATGTTTATTTTTGGGTAGATATTTTCAACCGATATGTAGATCTATTTAGCTGCGAGAATATATGTGACAATATGTGACACCTTATAGCATATTAGGAACGTTGATATTTTATTGTATACACACCGGATCAGTCCAGGCTCTGTTTATCCGAAAACCCGCCTTTCTAGTTAAAGAGACATCACTACTATAAAAAGTGACTCGTTAAGCCGGAAATTCGTTTATCCGAACGATTTGACTGTGTGACGTGAAATCAGGTAACGTCATTCAAATATAGTCACATATATAACGACAAGCACACGTGTGTGTGTGTGTGTGTGTGTGTGTGTGTGTGTGTGTGTCGCTGTGTGTGTGTGTGTGTGTGTGTGTGTGTGTGTGTGTGTGTGTCGCTGTGTGCGCGTGTTCTGCCACAAGTGAAACCCTGCTCTTTCTGCACTTACATAACAGACTATTGATTGCATATGTTATATGTAATTAAATTCCTCCATAGCTTTATACTCTCATATAAATGTCTGTGTTTGCCTGTGTAAAACTTTGTTGTGATTTAATGAGAAGTTATGTAAGCTCCGTTTCATGATAGTGTGTGTGTGTTTTCAGCCAGTGTTAAAACAACACTGAATGAGTGTGAACGTGTCCTGTGAGTATAGAGTACAATGTCGGTATTAGTGATGACATTACCGATTTTCATGTTATACCACCATACTTGCACACATCAATGGCTAGAAAGTGTACAACGATGAGGTTTGTTTTACTGGTAGTGAGTGAGTGAGTGAGTGAGTGAGTGAGTGAGTGAGTGAAACATCAGTGTTCTTATTGATCCTGTTATTTATTTTGCTTACTATTGTTTTCATTCATCATCTCATTCATCTCCTTGGTTGTTGTGTTACACTCATATACTAATCAGCTGTCTAGGATTACACCTGAATAAGCCGTGTAGGCGAAAAAAAAAAAGTACTTCTCTCGTTGAAGACCAAAAAATGATAATTAAGAAGCAGCAGCTCGAAAACGATTTGTCTTTTTTTAAATTAAATAAATTTGATATGCATTTTAGTATGTTGTAAATATTTAACAGTGCACGTAGGCTACAGTGCCTCGTGATAATTAAGAAGCAGCAGCTCGAAAACGATTTGTCTTTTTAAAAATTAAATAAATTTGATATGCATTTTAGTATGTTGTAAATATTTAACAGTGCACGTAGGCTACAGTGCCTCGTGAATTATTTTACTGGTTGATCATCCTCATTAGTGTGCGACTTAAATAAGGGTCTGGGTAATTATTGAATGTTTCAAATGTAAAACAAGAAACCTTTCACTGTTTGTTATTTTATAAGGAGAGTGAAATTAAACGTTGGAAATGAACCTCATTAAAACATTTCCCACTTAACTTCGGTTGTATTATATGCAGCCTATACATCTAGGTAGATTTGATAGTTGCCATACGAATTAGGATGAGTTAAGAGTACGAATTCTGTATTCAATATCCGGAGGAAAATAGTGCGTATGATCACGTGACAGTATGAGCGCCCTTAAACCGGAGGAACGCTGTTTCATCTGCTATATGTGTCGGTGGTCATCAATGACGAAGTTGCCGGGTCGTAACCCGGAATATGTCCTTACAAGCAGACGTCGACAAACTCGTACTCATTAAAGACATTTTCTAGGAAAATACTGGGGGAAATAATACGCCTCAGATAATAATAATAATTGTTCACTGGACATGCTTGATGACATGAAACATATGTTGTTGAAAGAATTTTTTTTTTGTCCGACTCGTCCTTTAAATGAAAAAAAATGATATCATGAAGCAATGATCGAAAAACTATTTTGTTTCTAAGTCTCCGGCATCTCCCAGAAACTAGATGTCCGGCCCGTTAGTTGTGTGAGAATATGTGCGAATACATCAAACGATATTGCGGTTAGTACCATTACAGCCATGTATGACAGTAGTAAGTTAGCTAGTACCTTATCTTTAAAAAAATTCAGATTTATGGTCAGGTTTACTTCATGCCTATTTAACACATCTGTCATTCCCTATAGGAAAATGTGCACAAAAGTCAACATTTTTTGCGTATATGGTGAAAATGAATATATTGTTCGATAGTGATGAAGACATAAATAGTTTCTTAGATACAGACGGGGAACAAAAATAGATTGTTCTTAAAACAGAGTCCCCAAAGGGTTAAACCACAGATAGGCGAAACCGTGATGATATAGCTTTTGTTTGTTGTTTAACGCGACACTCCGTATAATTCGAGCCATATGTCGGCAGTCTGTAAATAATTGATTTTGGACCAGACTATCCAGCGACTGACATCATCAGGATCGATCTAAGCAGTTGGGAAACGATGCCATGTATAACTAAGTCAGCGAGCTTGACCACCTGTTCTGTCGGTCGCCTCTTGGACAAGCATGGGTCGCTGGAGGCCAATTCTATACCGGGTATTCACGCGGCGATAATATATCTAGCTACTAATTCTCTGTAATGCCTCACGATAAGCCATGACTGTACATATTTTATATTTACATAGGTATATACTCAAAAGATGTTTAAGAACACCCGATTTTTTTTCATATCACCACATACAGTTAATCTGTTATAGGTGGTGGACATTTCGAAGCCTTCCAATTGTGGATGTTCTTTAACTTGTTTTGAGTAGTATATTCCATATCACACCATGTCAGTGTGACCTCTAAGTCTGAATGAAAAATGGTCTCAATAAAATGTTAATTATCAAAGAGATACAACAATAGCATGAATGTATATGGGGCTTGGTGTACTGTTACCAGTATAGCGTTGCATCACGTATAGCTGAATGAATAAACGTGATATGATATTGTTGTTTTGGTCGTGATACTGTGATACTTAATATCTCCATATCTCGTGTCAGTCTAATTGCGTCTCTGTGTATATATAATTAGATCATGGAAACATGCCAGTTATGAATGGGTTGAACAAGATACTGTGACCAAACCCCGACCCAATAAGTACAGAACGGTTCATTCTCAAAGTGAGTGAGTGAGTTGGGTTTCGAACCCACAATCATAGGTTTCTGGCGTGCCCAAGGGACGCAACTCTGCACAGACGCCTTAGACGACTGGGTCACCCGTGTCCCCTCATTCGCAAAGACAATAAGTACTGGTGAAAACATATTCGACAACCAAGAACTTTTGGCTTACATTCCATATTTAGGTTTCAGCTCACTACTTGAATGTATAGTCCCCAAGAGGTTAGTGCTTATAGCGTGTTCTCGTAATCTTATTATTTACCTTTAGCGACCGTCTGTAGCTTATGTTACTGTAGTGAATGAGTTCGGTTTTACGCCACTTTTAGCAATATTTCAGCCAGATTACGACGGGCAATAAGAAGCAATTCACCAATTGTTTGCACGTTGGGAGTCGAACCCGGGTCTTATGCGTGACGAGCCAACTGTCAAAATAAGCTTCATTCAGACATCAGAGATAAATTACATTGAAAGTTCTCGGGGCCATCGAATAATGTCGAGTTATCCGTATTTCGAGACCATATTCGAGATAATTTCGGGATCAAAACATCGTTTTGAAGAGTGTGAAGGGTGACATGTCAACGTGCACTTGGATGGATAGATTTATTGGCCTTATTTATTATTTAGTCGAAATAGAATTACCATTAGCCTGTTATTAAACCAACCATGACAAGTCATTGCTGGACGGTGTTGACGTGGAGGGGTTCGATATTGCAAAACCTCCAAAACACTTAATGGGCATCTCGAGCAGAACGTCAGAAGTGTTGCTTTTGACTTTCAAGTCGTGTGAAGTGTTAGTTTCTTCTTATGAAGGTTTGATAGTACCGGGGCAAGTTTGTTATATTCAAGTCATCTAAGGTGCCGCAATTCAATGTGCAGAGTTGCGTCCCTTTGGCACGCCAGGAACCTATGATCGTGGGTTCGAACCTCTCCCCAATTATGTTTCAAGGCTTGTCAGCACCATACCCGTGCTCTTGGGTTTCACCAACGTGGTAACCGTCTGAGACCTGCATCACTTTAAGCTGACACGCCGTGATATAAGCGGAATACTGTTCACAGCGGCGTCAAACCCAACTTATCACTCGTTATATTCAACATTACTTTATTCACACAAACAATAACTACGGTATACCCGGCTATAGTTGACTGTTTGTTCGTTATAAACGACTTCCTTATACCCAGCTATAGTTGACCGTTGCAGATGAACTGTCTGTTCGTTATAACCGACTATAGTTGACCATTGCAGATGAACTGTCTGTTCGTTATACCCAGCTATAGTTGACCGTTGCAGATGAACTGTCTGTTCGTTATAACCGACTATAGTTGACCATTGCAGATGAACTGTCTGTTCGTTATACCCAGCTATAGTTGACCATTGCAGATGAACTGTCAGTTCGTTATAACTGACTATAGTTGACCATTGCAGATGAACTGTCTGAACAGTATTTAGTTAACACATGTTAGCCCTTGATCAGGCTCGAGGTCTGAATTTATATGGAATCTCTGTTCAGGTATGTTCAGTGGTGGTCTGTGATTTTATCGAAAAACATTAATTGTCCCCGATATTTCTTTAGAAAAATATTTACGCTTCAGACTGTTGAAAAAAAAGAAGACATGAAGCATGACACAAAAATGGCATTGTTGCAAGGTGGTTTTCTTAAAATATATTCAGGCTCATAGTTTTAAATAAAAAAAATATCAGGTTTTGAAACTTTAGCTAAAAACTATCAAATGTTCCTTTCTCCAGTGGTCACAAGTTCTCTTACAACGCACGAGTCATTCTGAAGTCAGACCACGTGTAACCGTCGATGGTGTCATGCGATTGGCTGCTCATTAACACTCACCCTGCCCATGCCCGACCTGCTGTGTATTTAGATAGCGCCTTGCTTAACTCTCGGAGCTTTGACAGAACACCAACCGCAAGTAAGCACTAAACGGGAGGGACGTCCCACTGAGATTGTTATTGCTCTTACTGGACGCGAGGCTACTTTCCAGATCGGACGCCTGTAAGTATAGTGATGTTTGGACATGTTATGACAGTTTGCTGTATTCCAGGAGTGTGTAATAGGCCCAAACGAATTTACTTTGTTTTTGATGAGTGAAACTTTCTCCTTTCCCATTCTCAGTACTTTTTACATTTTAAGATCTCTCTCTCTCTCAAATGTTTGAAGGTCTATATAACGATATACAAAGTTTTTCATTCGTGGAATACACTAAGGTCAAAGCTCGAACTGTGTAAGTTTGGAACCTCTCTGTTTCAGTATTATTATTCAGTAGTGGTGTCGCGCTCTTGTAATATTGGATTTAAAAAAAAATCTCATTTAGCTATAGCACCGTGAACGCGAATTTCCTTTAGGATCAAAATACGACATGGTCCAAATAAACACACGTGTTTCGTGAATTGTTGTGCATTATATTTTGATACAAACTTTAACCAAATCCCGTCTCGATCACATATGTACCTGGCTAGCCGTGTAGATTTGAATGAGTATTACTTAGTGCAGTATGAATGAATATTATACTGAATGGATTAACCACATCGTGAATGGTTAGCTGACAACAACAGTTCCATGTACTTGAATGAACTAGATATACCCACCCTAGGTGATCTCGAGTACAGTGTGCTTGGCCAAGCATGTCTTTGATTGTTGATCGCCTTCTTGCAGGGGGTAAGATATAATCTGTAGTCCACTCATCGAAACTGTTTCAGCTTAGGTTTATCCTTCAGTGATTCGCGGTACGAATATTTCTCCGTGTAACGTCTTGCGATTATTTTTATGACTTCAGTGTGTTATAATGAACACATATATTCTGGACGACGTAGACAACTTTGTGATATTATATATGCTGGGCTGTTTTGAAACGTGTTTCGCCATTGCTGATATATAATGACGAATACTGGGCGATACTGCAGCAACGTGGACTACAGCGGGACTGTATGTTATCAACAATAGTGTGTTGTGGGGACCCCCCCGCACACCCGCCACATACAGCCTCCACACACAGACACAGACAGACAGACAGACAGACACAGACAGACAGACAGACAGACAGACAGACACACACACACACACACACACACACACACACACACACACACACACAAACTATTTAATGGTCGGCCGCTATTTGTGTAATCAGTACAGACGGAATATTTGGCTGATTCTGTCAAATAAAATGTATGTTAATTTCATTTCGTGGACTGTCTCAGCAGATATTTGCACTTGTGGCAGCCTGTTTAACATTTAACGTCTTCATGCATGATAAAAACACAGGAAAGAACGTCTTGCCTTGTGACGCAATTCAACAGTTAAAAAGCTACACGTGTATTTGAAAGTGTTAAGTATCACGGCATTGAAATTCCCTTTTTTGTACGTTGTCCTTTCTGATTGTCCTGGCCAGTCCTCTTGTTGCTTACTTATTATTGTCGGATGAGGGAGTGAGTGGGGAACTGTTTAGTTAGTAAAAAATACCCTTCCAGAAAATGCTTGGTACAAATATTTTGTGATTTTGTTTTAGACTCAATATTTTTTGAGTCAGTGTATCAAAACAACATTTTTTCTCGAAAATGAGCAGTCACCGAAGATTATTTGTCATAACCTGACGACAAACCTATGTTACCATCATTTTCAGGTAGATTCATTTTTCAAAATATCTCCTCTGCTCGTTTTTTATTTATTGTTGATTCCCGTTTTCTACAGGCGTGTTACAGCTTGAAGTGCTGACGGTTACATAAAACAACATTAACTCATTCGTCTACAGACATGGGACCCTTGATGTATTTCTAAACATGATAATCAAACTACAATAAAATTGACCGAACGTTTATTTTTAGAATAAAATATGGCAACCTGACATCAATTATATCACTTCCTATTTTATTAATTACTTTGATGAATGGGCAGGAACCAGCGGTTTGCGGGAGTGTTTCTGTATTGCAGATATATTGTTGATCGTTAGAAAAAGAATGTATCATGCAACACGTCGATCGACAGATAATCCCATAATAAATTGGGCTACTTCTTATCAATGTTTGGTTTCGGTACCGTCCTGTAATGTGTTCAATAAATGACAATGCTATCCCATACAATCATCTCATCAAAGTTTCATAAATTGGGAAATACATTATCCAGATGTACTTTTGAAGCATGGGGCACATTATTAACCATGACATTGATCCTCATAGCTGCTGCTCTTCCCCAAGTTATCTCCACGACATGGACAATACCATCCCCGCCATTACGCTCACCCACGCACGTACATGTGGGAATATTATGCATTTAATTATGGTTAATTCACTGCTGGTCATATGAAATTGTGATATTTAATTATCGATAAATCTTGAATTGGATGCGATGACAGTGTGATTTATTACTTGGATTAAAATATTGACAGGCAATGTCTCGCAGATCAGGTAGACAAAGGTTTCCGAAAATGTCGATGAGAAAAGGAGTAAGGTTTAAGTCGCTGTTAGGGACATTACAGTTAGATCAGTGCGGGGGACACTTACAGTTGGTACACTCCTTGTACCAAAGTGGAAAATTAAACCCATGTCTTTAGGCTACCCCTTTCCAAGATAATATGTGTGACGGCGCCCCGATGCGTTACATTGCATCAACTGACTTTTATCATCCAAAACTGGCTCCCACAGGAGATATCGCTTGGGTAAGATCAAGCGATATCTATACTGTAGATATCGCTGCAATGAAATTGCATCACAATTCTTTGCAGACCATTGTAACATCACTGGTTACCATGACGTCACAATTAAATGACATTACTAATGGCTCTACTACTGAAGCTGTTTGCAGTACTTTTTACACTGAAAACACTGCTAATGACTGTCTACAAATTGAAAAAGTTGAAAGAATGATGTTGGATGATAAATAAAATCTCACCCTCGTGTCTTTTGATATCAAATATATCAACACTCGTTGATAACAGTGGCAAAAATCGGCAAGCCTCGGCATGTTTCCACTTTTATCAACTCATGTTGATATATTTGATATCAAAAGACACTCGGGTGAGATTCCCTATTTATTACACATAGGGTTAATAATAACCGAGTTCTTGAAAATCGTATTTGGACTTTTGCAAATATCACTTCTTGCGCACCAGTGTATTGTTTTCGTCATCTAGACGGTATTGTTTACGTCATTCGAATCTTATTGTGACATGAGGTCGGAATGACGTCACAGCTGAATATTGTTGACGTCATTCGTCCTTTTCTTGGACAGCGGTGGTGATCAGTGCATTTTTCTAAAAGGGAGCTCAAAAGGATTAAGACATAATGGATAATAAAGAAATTATTACACTCGCATGTGTGTCATACTGATTTTACGAAACGAGTGTCAGAATGCCTGTATTACCCTCGCTGTCACTCGGGGAAACAAGAGTTCTGACACTCGTTTCGTATAATCGGTTTGACACACATACTGGTATAATATCTTAGTGCGTGTATTCCGATACCGGTGCTTCGAAGTTCTGCAAAACATTGCGAATACGAAGTTTACGACAACGCTTCATGTATCTTCCCTGTTTGAATGAGATTCGCGAAGAGGCTCTCGAGTAATGGAACATATAATCAACCATTAAAGACAAAAATAATATTTAGTTATGTTTGTTTATCTATCTATCTGGGAAGGGATACGCATCTCAACTTCTGCAGCAAACTTAAAATGTGTACAATTGAAAGTTTTATACATTATGGTACCTTCCAAGCGTAAATGTATCAATTGCAAGCCGTAACTACATAATTGAATATCGTTTACGTTACCAACAAAATAGCACGACTATTTAATTTTTGATTACAAAATGCACTCCTACATTTATTCAAGCTGTATTCGCTCTTAATAGGAACTATTTTTTTTATCAAATTCGCCAAAATTTCCATCCACTCTTCAGTTTTACAAAGCGCTCTAAGAACCTTAAATTAACTTTGCAAAATGTATTTTCAGGTGATCACGCAACGTTCTACCAAGATGGCGGATCTGATGGAGATGGAATCACACGACAACATGACCCTTGACATGCTTGAGATAGACGTGAACTACACTGACAACAGAGACCTTGTGACTCTCAACAATGACAAGGCGTTCGTCCTGTTGCCCGTCGTTGTGTACGTCATAGTCCTCATGGTATGCGGCTTAGTAGGAAACAGCTTCGTCTGCTACATCTACAGATGCAGGTTCCGAAGAAACACTTCTAATTTCTTCATAGTCTTCCTAGCAATAATGGACCTGTTTTGCTGTTGTGTTGGGATGTCGTTCGAACTGTCAGACCTTTTGCTTCCATACCTGTTCAATGCTCCCGCAGCGTGCAAGATATTTAGGTTCATTGAGACTTGGGCTTCGGGAGCGTCGGGGTTGGTGCTTGTTTGTGTTGCCCTAGACAGATACTACAAACTGTGCAAACCAACAGAAAGATTTTCTCTCAAGCGGGCAAAGATATTTTGCTGCGTCGCTATCTTCATCGCATTAGTCATGGCAGTGCCTTCGTTGATAGTGTTTGGGAAAAGGTCAGTTGAAACTGAGGTTCCGGGAATCAATGGGACAGAGTGTTCCACGGACGACGAGATGCTGGATAGTCCTCTGAGGATCGTGTTCTACGTCACTATGTCGGTGACGTTCCTCGTCAGCCTTATTTGTCTAATAACACTTTACAGCTTAATTGGCTTCAATTTATGGCAGAGGAAGCACAAAAAGATGGGAGAAAAACTCAAACCAAAGGGAGACTACCCGCGAACTCATCGATTTGTCAACAGTGATAGTTCATCCTTCTCCAGTCTGTCAGACGAGACCAAAAAGACTCAGGGCTATGTACAGAGCCACGTGGGCATACAGAAGACAGACACTATGCGGCAGGCCAAGGGGTACAAACCTAATCAGGGCATGGGACACATATCTCTCAAGACAACCCGTCTCACTGGCATCTTTTTTGTTCTGTCAGTTTCGTTCGTAGTGAGTTTCCTCCCTTGGATTTTAGCCAACGTTCTCAAAGTGACAAAAGCAGCCTTTAACCCCTTTTCTTCTGACGCTATGGAAGTTCTGTATAATTTCCTTGTGAGATCCCACTTTATTAACAGCTCGGTTAACCCCATCATCTATAGTATACTTAATAGTCAGTTCAGGAAAGAATGTAAAGTCGTGTTTAAACGAATGTTTAAAACTTGCAAACGGTGAGACAAGCAATAGCCAAACAGTGGAGAAAGGACCAATTTAATTTTGACATCATTTTCATGTGGCATATTTATCGCATAAGTTCACACTGTCCTGAATATCGTATCACCTAGTGTGGAGGAACCATTGATATGTCACAAGGTTATATGAACAATGCAGTCACGCACCATTTCACCATTGTGATCGGGATAAATACACAGTCCGCTATACGTGTATGGAGACTGTCGCCATATACACTTGGGAGACTAAGATTAACGACATCTTTTTGAAGCGTCGGGCTGAAGTCCATTGTGCAACTGTATCTCGTGGCCGTCAGACTCGAGGCCTGTATGGTTACCTCCCCTTGTCACAACTATATCAATCGGAACACATCGGGTGTTTATGTCATCCCTTGTTGCAAATATATCAATCAGAACACACCGGGTGTTTACTTCATCCTTTGTCACAAAATATAGCCATCGAAAGACATCGGGTGTTTACGTCATCCGTGTTATCCGGAAATCATTATATTGAGAAACGTGTTCAGCCGGAGCGACAGATATAGACTGGTAATTCAGTTAACAATAGCTGTGGAACTTTCACATGCATTACGCTAAGGCATACGTTTCTTTTCGTATAAAGGAGACGGGTAATGTATTACCACTGGGGCCTTGACGTGTGATACATGTGTGCTAGTTTCAGTGATCTAGCAAATGGACACATAATCCCTGACAGCCAGTTCAGGACATTTCAGTCGATTGTATAAATCGAAACACGTTTGTATCGCAATAATTAAATCACCTGTTCGTTGGATAGGTTTAACAAAGAGAGCTTGGGAGACCTATCTTTATACTTACTTTTACATTTTAAAATGATGTGAAATGGGAAAATTTGGTAGAGCTTTTTTTCTACTGTCCCAGGTCGTTATTGGGCTGAAATAATGCCGATGCGACGTTTCTGTTTGCGGACTCTGTTAGAAAAGCTTTTTAAATTTATGGGAAGATTCCATATTCTGGTATAATATAGTCATTTGTCTCCTATTACAAATTGATGATAGTTTAATAGTTTCGACCTTCAAAAAATTAATTAGTTTCGGTCGGCCGTGAAATAATATTTATTTTGAAGTTATCCCTAGAAGACTCATCTTGCATACTTGTATCCACCTTTATCAGAATCGTTGATTTGGTCTCTTGCTTGTCACGATAACATAGATTGGCTCTATCCTTCTTTATAAACCATCACTGTCGCATAAATTTGTTGCTCACCTGGTCCCAGGGTTCTGGTGAGGTTATGTCATGGCAAGGTACACGTCGATATGTTGCATGGATGAGCCCTAAAACATGGTTGTTGTTTTTTAAAGTGGCCACCATATTGAAAATACCATAGTGGTCTTCGTGGTAATTCCATGCCCTAGTGTAAACGTGGATATACAGTGTTAATGTCAGTTGATACTTACTCCAGAACCATTCAGTACCGTTAGTAATCCAGTCTCAACGATTCAGGTGAGCTACATAACCTTTGACCTTGATTTGTCAGGTTAAGATAGTTAACTATTCACTGAATATTCGAACCATACATTAGTAATGTTTCATATGGAAGCATTCCAGGGAGCTACAAACATCTTACTGAGTGGGACGATAACAGTGTATACTCGCTAATTCCAACTGAATAACAGAAGGTGATATCTGGAGACGTCACTAGAACCTCGAGGGGCGGGTTGAATTGGGGAGTTGGGGGACGCCGTGATGGATGGAGCTGTCTATATATTCAGTGTAGGTGGCGACATATTAATTACTTCTTTGGGATAGTCTGCCTAACAAAAGTATGAAGAATTATTTTCAAGAACTAAAGTTTACTTTTTACCTTCGTATCAAATAGGACGTTTGTTGGCCTGGAACTAAGTATAATCGCACCAACAGAAGGCACCCTGGTTTCACGGGACACCGGGTGGTCGCATGACGTTCCTGTTTCTTATGACGACCATGTACATTCTCGACATTTTGTGTAGGCATGGTAAAATTGAAAGTAATGAATAAATATGTATAGGACCCACCATTCGGGACCGCACATTAATTCAAGGTATTCACCCATGTGTGCACAAAATGGATGACCATGCCCTATTAGGTACTATGTATCGTGGAAAATCTCATTGTTATGATATATATTGTAAGCGTACAATGACTGTCCTGTTTCCTGATCTTGCGCATCATTGCGTTGGATTTTCGTGGGCTCGTTGTATTCTCCACAACAACCCTATTGTTTTAAATAACCGGCCTCGAGCGCGGCTGAAACAAGGGAGATAACTGTAGCACCTGAAAATGTACGAGAACCTCTGTGATAAGTCTGAAGGAATTGTCATCACAATATCGGATGAGAATTTGTATTTTTTATCGGTTTATGTCGTGTTTTTTAACGACTGAAATAAAGTGTTCAAAGAGAAATGTGTTGTTTATCTTCAAGCATGAGGTCACCAGGACGCAGAGTAGGGCGTTATCTCCATGCCGTCCGTCGGAGTGAGTGCCCCGTGATCTGAGACAACTATAAGAAAACCTATGTCTCTCCTGGGAAGACTTATTTAGTGAGCGATCGTACCCAACGAGTTATGCTGGTCACGTATATCCAGCGGTTTTCTTGGTCCCAAACCTACAATTCAATGGGACCGATGGGGTAGCCTAGTGGTTAAAGCGTTCGCTTGTTACGCCGAAGACCCGGGTTCGATTCCCCACATAGGTACAATGGGTTAAGCTAATTTCTGGTACCCCCGCCGTGATATTGCTGGAATAATGCTAAAAGCGGCTTAAACCATACTCTCTCACTCACTACAATACCATGAAACAACTGTCAACAATAACTGTTTTAACAATGAGGAATACTGTTTTGTCAGATTTTATTATTAGCAACCTCTTGAAATGAGATGGCATATTTGAAGGGAAAATAAACAGCGAACCTATTGATTGGTTCATTTTCAGTGACGATGGTGTAACGCTAACTGCACAATATCCTCAGTCCGTGAACGTATATCATTCATACACATATTGGACGTGCGATAGACTCGTCATGTGCCGACGATGAAATGTTGAATAGTATTATATTAAAAAACTCATTAAACCCAAGGTAGCGTTAAGGGACTTAACGAATATGTACGTGTAAATCGTTGTCCAAGCAGCCGGCAACTTGACTGGAATATTGCTGAGCACGGCGTACAACATTATATTTACCCTTATGTATCGGTATGGACATAGACAATGAACTACTCTGCTTGTAGAAACATGTCACTGAATAATCAATCAATGTCTGTGCACATGGGTTTTACCAAAGTGGGAAACCACTAAGGCCTGCCTTATTTTCCTCCCACATCACCCCCTTGAAGAATTGTTCAGATACTCATTCATTCAATTGTATCAATTAATAAAACGTGTTCAAAGATTAGCTTCAAACAATTACTTGTAAGGCGGGTTTTTTAAAAACTATCTACAAATATTTATTTTTCTTGTTGTTTGACGTCTTTATCAGCAATATGCCAGCTTTACATCACAAGAATATTTTAATATCAACGTCACAGGAAACTGATATGTTAATATGGGTAATAAGTCGATCTAAGGGTAATCACAAGTAGTATATTAAACGTGACACATCACACGGAAGCCCGTTACAACACCAGCAGACAACAACAGGATGCCGACGCGGATGCTGAATTGGCTGAACACTTCCGTAGCGACAAGACGTAACAGTGACCCCACCAGTCGCCATGTCGCCAAGCTGCCCCCTACTGGCCGTGTTTGTCAATACCGGATAGTTACTTAAGCTTGTTAGTGCGTCGTTCCTCTGAATCTCAAGGCGGATCCATTAAGATTAATATGGGTTCGGTTGGCGTGGGGGTATTATTTTGAAATATTATTTTCAATTGACTGCATAAGTCCCCTATGTCCATATTGGACCTAATGGACCCAAACCACCCTGTAACGTGATTTATCTACATGGCCTTGAATTGTGAGATGCCTACCCCGCCCTCTTCTGAATCTCAAAGAGCATCTAATTTTTCAAAAAAATTGAATTACTGAAAAAATGATCTAAAAAATAAAATGTATAAAGGAATTTGTTACGTCACGTTAATTATTCAATATGTTGAATTTGACTACCAAATACGAATTTATTGGCGTCCCTCGCACCACATGTACACAGCTGATTTCTGTGGTTGGCAGCCTTGATTGGCACATCGCACTTCAGAAGTTTCAAACATGATTTGATCAATGGCAACCACGGTGGATACTTCGAAAATAACTACCATTTACATGTCTGACATTTCTAAGTTCAATTGTCAATTAGATAACACAACGTGCTGGTCACGTTTGATAAGTAGTCTTAGTCTAGTTATAAAATATTAATGTGATGTAGATCCAAGCACGTATTAAAAGCTTTTTGCTATAAGTTAATTTCTTTACTTGCTTAGCATGCTTCAAAGATACCACCCCATTCACCATCGGGATCTGCGGAAAAGAACGAGAATTGGATGCGAGGAAAACACGATGTGCTCGGTACAGAAAGACAGCATGAAAAGACAGACAAGTGAAAATATCTTTGTATGGAAATATTTGAGCACACATTGATCACACATTTGGCCAAGGCGAGGGACTATCTCCAAACTATAGTGTGAGGGATGTGTTCACTTGTATGTGTGTCATGAGAAAGACGCTCTGATTTTACGTTTCGCCTGAGAATGATACCAAGGTTTTTGAAGCGTTCATATAATATTACAAACTAACACTGATCATTAACACATCGACAAAAGTAAATACGGCAACATTAGTGTACATACCAATGTGCTGGCGTTGGCATGTGTTCATGTCATCAGTAAGGATTATTTTGAGGGAGCGAATGAGTTACAGCTCCCCAACGGCGGCTTGTAAATAATAAGGTAATTCAGTGGTTGATAGTGTGAGCACCGGCCTAACCATTGCTATAACACGATCATCAATGTAGTCGGCTTATTTATGAGGCCAAAGACAATTGGGACCCATTCCCGGCATTACAACTGAGGGGAGGGTGGGATGGGTGGGATTGGGGGGGGGGGGGGGGGGGGGGGGGGGGGGGGGGGGGGTTTGTTGAGTGTTATATTAGGATAGTCAAATGAACAATGAAACAAGAAACTGGATTTCTCCACACATAAAAGCAGTTTGACACCTGCGCCATTTTGTTATGCCAGGATCCGCTGAGACCAAGGGTGTTTGAATCCCAGATTTAGCCCGATTACAATCCTTGGTCTGCCATCACCATACCCGTGGGTTTCATCACGGCCCGCGTGACTTTGGGATCTCCAACCCAACTGCTGACACACTTTGAAATAACCGGAAACAGTAGAAAGCAGCAACATACACTCTTAAAAAAAAAGAAAAAAAGAAGAAGAAACCCACAGGTAGATTTTTAGTAAATTTATTTTACTGATTAAAGTCGATATATTTAATTTGATATCATAGATACAAATATGAAATTTTGGAGCTCGATAGTCAAATATTGTCGTTGCACAAAGGCATTGAAAACTGTTCATTGTCATGTCACACAAGGTCACACGATTGCGCTGAACTCAGTATCTCGTGTGACCGCCCCGGGCAGCAACTCCTCGGCACTGACTGGATACGTGTACGAATACTGTCCTGCGGAATTCTGCGCCATTCTGCTTGTAACGCGTTGGTCAGTTGTGGGAGCGTCTGCGGCGTGTTCTGATGTTTCCGTACACGTCGATCGAGGTTCTTCCCAGAGGTGTTCCATTGGGTTGAGATCTGGGGATCTCGACGACCAGGGCAGTACGTTGATGTTTGGCATTATGAAGGTAGTCTACCGTGACACGAGCTGTGTGCGGTGGAGCGTTGTCCTGTTGAAACAGCTCCCTCTGGCGGTCAATGATTGGAAGAAGGTGAGGTTGAAGAATTTGATTCATGTAGCGATTTGCTGTCAAATTTCCCTTAACCATAACCAAGTCAGATTTCGTGGTGTAGGATATGGCCCCCTACACCATGACACTACCGCCGACGAATTTGTCGAATTCACGTGCAAATTGTGGGGCAAAACGCTCATTTCTACGACGATAGACACGTTGTCTCCAAACTCGCCGGTGAAGAAGAAATCGTGATTCATCGCTAAACCACACTCGAGTCCACTTTCTCAAATGCCAAGGCTGTAAGGTATGGCACCAACGCAAGCGTCGCTGTGGATGCATCTGTTGCAAAACAGGGACGATAAATGGTCTTCTGGGTCGGATTCCAGCCTCGCGAAGATGGTTCCTGACAGTCTGGTCCGATATCTTCCTCAAACCAGGGATGCGTCCTGTAGTCTCCGTAGCTGTGGCATTGCGATGGTGGATGCCGGTTCTCTTGTAAGATGGCTATCGAGTGGATGTGTTCGGTTGTTAGTATATCCTCTGGAGAATGCCGAAAGTGGTAATCATAAACGGTTCATGTTTCCGATGCTGTTGGAAATGACACATGCCTTATTCTACAAGTGAGTTTATTGTAGACCAATACAGCGGAAACACATATACATGGGTGTTACTAACTGACGCTGGTGATAGACTCACCCACAGAACCTTAATTATTGTCCGTGATATATGATAACATATTTATGACGTCATTTCATCGAGAGGCCTACGGTTATTATCCCAGTGAGTGTGCGCTATGATGATCCCTGTCTGGTTCTGTACAGGTATATCGGGAACCGATAAGTCATCAGGCTTAGTGGAGGTCGTTATCCTGAGAGAGGTGTGATTCAGCTTTCTGGTTTTGTGAAGTAAATTCATCGAAAGGGCTACGGCTAGTATCCCTGTGCGCGCAGGTTATGATAATCCCTGTCTGGTTCTGTACAGGTATATCAGGATCACCTGAAGTCATCATGCTTAGTGGAGGTCGTCATCCTTCTGGGAGAGCTGTGATTCAGGATTCTGGTTTTATGAAGTAATTTCATCAAAAGGGCTACGGCTAGTATGGGATTTGAAGATCCAACCGAAAGCAGTTTTGACAAGGTCAGAAACTGTATATTGCCTATCTCCCACCCATTAGCGATGACATTGTATTTCGCAGAGATCTATCTAACCGTCTTCATTGCAGTCCAGCGATACTTGGCTGTTTCTCGTCCCCTACGTCAGAGTAGGCTAATGAGGGAGACCTTCGTGTACAATACTATTGCTGTGATACTAGTGGCGCCAATCGTCTCCGTCTTCAATCGTCTTCAACATACCTCACTGGATCCCCCCCCCCCCCCCCCCCCCCCCCCCTCTATGAGAATATAGCAGGGCCGACGCTTAACTTTATTCCAGGTGTATATATCAGTTTTAATTCTTCCGGAGACGTCCACCTGAGTCATTGAGGAAGGACAAGACATTATCGACCACTAAGAATTCGTTGTTAGGCCATTATTCACTATACAACCGATCCTGCTGTAAACACCGTGTTTCGGCAGTAAGGGAGCGAGTTTATAAATGCTTGACCCATCGGAAAACTAATCGCATAATCAACTGTTTTGAATTTATTAAACAGGGGACCGCCTCCTTGATCTAGTGATCGTTGCGCGGAAGGTCTGAGGTTCAAACCCTGGCCGGTCACACCGAAAGACGTTAAAAGATGGATACCTATTGTTACCCTGCCTGGCGCTGGGCACTAAGGGGCTAAAACAAGAACTGGTCAGCTCGGAGTCAGTATACTGTGTCTGAGTGGGGTATTCATGTTATACTGTGGCATGGTTTCTCAGGGGGTTTTAGCACTGCAGTTCACAACATTCCTCTATGGGTCAGGCAAACCAGTGGTTGGCAGCAAGAGTAATCAGCCATGGTATCGAACCTCACCACAAGATCCGTGTACCCCTCTTGAGACAGCTATAGCTTACTTTGGAGTTCTGTACCCCACCGTGATGGTTAAGTGGGCAAGAATGGTTTTACGTCTCTTATAGCAATAAATCCAACTACACGTATATAACGTCGGTGTTCACTAACTGGTCAGGAACTCTGGGTTGCTTGATGCATCGTGTCCCAATTGCGAAGATAATTCAATTAGTTGTTCAGGCTGTTGTTCAGTCCGACAGGAGATGGGTGAGGTGTTGTTCAGTCCGACAGGATTTGGGTGAGGTGTTGTTCAGTCCGACAGGGATATGGTGTAGTTGTATTTATCTCACACTACCAGTCGACCTCTCCGCCCACCAACACCACTCCATCCACCACCACTCCACCCACCACAACCACTCCGTCCACCACCACTCCACCCACCACAACCACTCCGTCCACCACCACTCAACCCACCACCACTCCGTCCACCACCACTCAACCCACTACCACTCCATCCACCACCACTCAACCCACTACAACTCCACCCTCCACAACCACTTCGTCCACCACCACTCCACCCAGCACAACCACTCCGTCCAGCACCACTCAACCCAACACCACTCCGTCCACCACAACTCAACCCAACACCACTCCGTCCACCACAACTCAACCCAACACCACTCCGTCCACCACAACTCAACCCAACACCACTTCGTCCACCACAACTCAACCCAACACCACTCCGTCCACCACCACTCAACCCACTACCACTCCACCCGCCACAACCACTCCGTCCACCACCACTCCACCCTCCACAACCACTCCGTCCACCACCACTCTACTCACCATCACTCAATCCACCACCACTCAACCCACCTTCACTCTACCCTCCACCGCTCCGTCCACCACCACTCAACCCACTACCACTCCACCCGCCACAACCACTCCGTCCACCACCACTCTACTCACCATCACTCAATCCACCACCACTCAACCCACCTTCACTCTACCCTCCACCGCTCCGTCCACCACCACTCAACCCACTACCACTCCACCCGCCACAACCACTCCGTCCACCACCACTCTACTCACCATCACTCAATCCACCACCACTCAACCCACCTTCACTCTACCCTCCACCGCTCCGTCCACCACCACTCAACCAACTACCACTCCACCCGCCACAACCACTCCGTCCACCACCACTCTACTCACCATCACTCCACCCGCCACCACTCAACCCAACACCACTCCACCCGCCACAACCACTCCACCCTCCACAACCACTCCGTCCACCACCACTCTACTCACCATCACTCAATCCACCACCACTCAACCCACCTTCACTCTACCCTCCACCGCTCCGTCCACCACCACTCAACCCACTACCACTCCACCCGCCACAACCACTCCGTCCACCACCACTCTACTCACCATCACTCAATCCACCACCACTCAACCCACCTTCACTCTACCCTCCACCGCTCCGTCCACCACCACTCAACCCACTACCACTCCACCCGCCACAACCACTCCGTCCACCACCACTCTACTCACCATCACTCCACCCGCCACCACTCAACCCAACACCACTCCACCCGCCACAACCACTCCGTCCACCACCACTCTACTCACCATCACTCAATCCACCACCACTCAACCCACCTTCACTCTACCCTCCACCGCTCCGTCCACCACCACTCAACCCACTACCACTCCACCCGCCACAACCACTCCGTCCACCACCACTCTACTCACCATCACTCCACCCGCCACCACTCAACCCAACACCACTCCACCCGCCACAACCACTCCGTCCACCACCACTCTACTCACCATCACTCAATCCACCACCACTCAACCCACCTTCACTCTACCCTCCACCGCTCCGTCCACCACCACTCAACCCACTACCACTCCACCCGCCACAACCACTCCGTCCACCACCACTCTACTCACCATCACTCCACCCGCCACAACCACTCCGTCCACCACCACTCTACTCACCATCACTCAATCCACCACCACTCAACCCACCTTCACTCTACCCTCCACCGCTCCGTCCACCATCACTCAATCCACCACCACTCAACCCACCTTCACTCTACCCTCCACAACCACTCCGTCCACCACCACTCAACCCACTACCACTCCACCCGCCACAACCACTCCGTCCACCACCACTCTACTCACCATCACTCAATCCACCACCACTCAACCCACCTTCACTCTACCCTCCACCGCTCCGTCCACAACCACTCAACCCACTACCACTCCACCCGCCACAACCACCGTCCACCACCACTCCACCCAGCACAACCACTCCGTCCACCACCACTCTACTCACCATCACTCAACCCACTACCACTCCGTCCACCACCACTCTACTCACCATCACTCAATCCACCACCACTCAACCCACCTTCACTCAACCCAGCACAACCACTCCGTCCACCACCACTCAACCCACTACCACTCCACCCGCCACAACCACTCCGTCCACCACCACTCTACTCACCATCACTCCATCCACCACCACTCAACCCACTACCACTCCACCCTCCACAACCACCGTCCACCACCACTCCACCCAGCACAACCACTCCGTCCACCACCACTCAACCCAACACCACTCCGTCCACCACCACTCAACCCAACACCACTCCGTCCACCACCACTCTACTCACCATCACTCCATCCACCACCACTCAACCCACTACCACTCCACCCTCCACAACCACTCCGTCCACCACCACTCCACCCAGCACAACCACTCCGTCCACCACAACTCAACCCACCACCACTCCACCCACCACAACCACTCCGTCCACCACCACTCAACCCAACACCACTCCGTCCACCACCACTCTACTCACCATCACTCCGTCCACCACCACACAACCCAACACCACTCCGTCCACCACCACTCCGTCCACCACCACTCCACTCACCACCACTCAACCAATGACCACTCCATCCCCCACCACACCACCCGCCACAACCACTCCATCCACCACCGCTCCACCCACTACTGCTCCATCCACCACCACACCACCCGCCACAACCACTCCGTCCACCACCACTCAATCCTCCACCACCACTCCATCCAGAACCGCCCCACCCACTACCAATCCATCCACCACCACACCACCCGCCACAACCACTCCGTCCACCACCACTCAATCCTCCACCACCACTCAACCCACCACCACTCCATTCACCACCACCACCCCACCCACTACCACTCCATCCACCACCACCCCAGCACCACCTCTCCACCCACCCTTCATCATTTTGCCCACCCCTTCACCCACTTCACCCACCACCACTCCACCCAGCACCACTCCATCCACCACCACCACCCCACCACCACCTCTCCACCCAGCACCACTCCATCCACCACCACCACCACCCCACCACCACCTCTCCACCCAGCACCACTCCATCCACCACCACCCCAACCACCACCTCTCCACCCACCCTTCATCATTTTGCCCACCCCTTCACCCACTTCACCCACCACCACTAATAAGCATAAAACCTTGATACTTACTAATATAATACAATGATATGGAAATTACATTTACATCACCCACATTACCATAACAAGACCCTGCATGAATATTTACACTCGAGCTTGGATGGGTGTCGAGGTTTAGGAGATCAAGGAAGTACTTGAACTGCACATATGACGGTCGCCAAGGTGACGCAGCCACTACTTCCTCTTGTCAAGCAAACAGGTTTATATAAGGAAAGGTTGAATAAGGTAGTGGTGTTATACAACTGTTGGACATTGGACACATTCGATTGTGCGCAAAGGAAATATGACCTACCTACATCACATGTGAATAGATCACCTCTGTCACATATTTCGTTGACCCCGTTATTGACACCACGTGACACCACGTGACACTTCATGTCAGCACGCTACCAGACCTGTCAAGGTAATACATATTTCAATATATCCAACATGTATACCAATACATTGCATATATAATAGTATATGTTACATTGTTACACAATAATACATTTTGATAAGGCGTTAGTAATGAGAAAGTACCTCAGTAAAAGCATCAAACACTGCGAGACAACAATGGTGTGTAACCACATATGATTAATATTCAAAACGGTTATCTCTAATATTCATGTGGACCGACAAAATAAACATGAACTTCGGAGGTAACATTGTCACACTTATCCACAGACGCCTTGGGCATTAATAACAAACAAATATCGGTCGATGACTATTTTCTTTAAAATATATAATAATTAAAATTTGTCTCAATTCTTATTGATAATTGCCTGCGAAATACATTTGATTTTCAATTTGTCATCGCTAAAATGTGTTAATGTCTCAATGTGAGAATATGTGGGAAATACCAAACTTAACCCACCTGTTCGTAAAATGGACTTGTCCGACATTTCCGTGGTCGTTTTATTCAGGGAGTCACCACTATTAAAATTTGGGTAAATATTTTAAAAACTTGTACATTTCATCAACATCCTTAAAGAGTCTGTACATAATGTTGATGTCTCAATTAAGAATTAATTAAACGACTCGTGGTCGTTGTGCATCGTGCAGTAAAACACTGCAGAGAGAAGGAACTACTCGGGGCTGCGCACCTCATGGTATATTCTCCCTGCGGTGTTATACTGCACGATATACAACGACCACGAGTCTTTTATTTCTTAAATAAATGACTAGATCCATTTGTGATAGTTTATGTATGTATCGTTCCCGAAGCCAGATGTGTACACAGGTAACAGTCCCATAGGTAACACTGTTTCCACTACGTTTTATCCAACGAAAAGGATGGCGTTGGCATGTAACGCATTTGGACGTGATTATTAATGGAAACAGAATAACAGAATACCAGTAAATCTGGATGATGAAATGTCTATAATTTTGTCAACGCTCTCTTAGAATTTGTTGGTAGACATTTTCTCGCGTTTTTTTTATCGCGTAGTGTGGTATACATAACTTGTGCTGAGTGAGTCTCTTCTCTTTCACTTTATATTTCAGAGGTTTGTTTAGTTCACGTTTGTGTCGATGAGAATTAATAAAATCATTAGGGGTCGTCAATTAAAACATGCAACGGACCTAATGTGAAATCGTTATTTTTGGTATGGCAGGCGGTTTTTACATAAATAATATACCCAGACAACTCACGCCTCAATACATCGCAACTATGTATATCTAATATAGTTCATATGTACCGTATTCACTTCAGAAAAAAAGAAGATCGGGTTTTTTTGACGAAGGAAAATATATAATTATCGTATCAATTAATGGGATTCGAACTATTACGATATACGGTGAAATTTGCATTTGTAAAGTTAGCTAGGTTGAGAACACATTGGAGTTACTTCCCTTGGAATCACATAGGGTGCGTCTTTGTCAGCTGATCAGAGGGCAGAGCGACAACAAAACAATCTTACAGAGGAGTCTTAAAAGGATTTCTAAGCGGATAGTTGTGGTATATATTGTAAGTATACCCGTATTAAGTAATACTATTTTTAGAAGATACAATAGTTTAATCAATTTTCACTCTTTTGAGCTTTGACAGACGTCAACCGACAGCTGCGGACAGTAGAAATCTTGCCTCGGCCTCTGATTTACCTCACAATTTACTCAATCATACTAGCACCTTTCAGTCTCATTTTTTTGTGAGGGTAAGACTTCCGCCCGTAGGCTTGGAAAAATCCAAATTTCCCCGGGACCCGCTTTTACGCATCCCTACACGCGCACCCGCTACCTGTCCCAATTTGGGTACAAACTGTCATATTGGGAATTGTTTTACTGAGCCCTGACCAAAATAAGTATTTAGCTACACAGACACAATGATATGTTCATGCATGCTTCAGTGAATGAAGCTTTATCATTTTCAAACATATAAAAGTATGAAAGAAATGTTTGAACGATAGCGCTTGTAGTGTAACCATGGTGCTTAATGCTATTCTCATTAATTACACAATATATCACATGACTAACCACGGGTCCAGGTAGTTCTGTGGATAAAAAGGGGCCTACTCAGGACCCATCCGACACAAGTAGGCCTACCTGAGTTACCTGTTCTTTTGGAACGGTAGCCTAGTGGTTAATGCATTCGCTCGTTTCACAGAAGACCCGGGTTTGATTCTTTAGAGTACAGTATACATGAAGCCCATTGCTTGTGTCCACTGCCATGATATTCTGGATTGTTGCTAAAATTGGCATAAAGCCATACCCACCCTGTTTTTTTTTTACTGAAACAAGAGACGATGTCACTTGTCCTTGACTTTTTCAATTTGAACTTCTTTTAGCATCCAGACTTCTCTCCTCTGTCTTCGTACATGGGAAAACTATTTCAAATTCTCTTCAGTGTCCACTGAATTCATTCCTCCTCTCCCACAATGGTCAGTCATTATTACTGAAATGAAAATGTTGAAGAACAAGAAATCTGTCTCCAGCTAGGGTTGATGTGTAGCAAAGGGGCACAGGTGGCCCAGTCGTTTAAAGCGCCGCAATTCGCTGTGCAGAGTTGTGTCCCTTGGGCAGGCCAGAAACCTATGATTGTGGGTTCGAATCCTGGTTCGTCCCGATTATGTATCTAGGTTTGTCAGCACCATATCCCTCCTCGTGGGTTTCACCGAAAGTTGTAAACGTCTGAGACTTGCATAACTTCGGGCTTTCCTTCCACATTAAGCTGACACACCGTGATGTAACTGGAATACTGTTAAAAGCGGCGTTAAAACCAACCCACTCACTCACTCAATGATGTGGAGAAAACGGCATGAGTAAGGGTATTACCATTTTGATGATGATGTTCATTTGATGTTTCAGATTTGGTGAAGACATCAGGCAAAGAAGATGCTGAGAAATAGATTGCTGCTATTTGTGAGCTGTCTTGTGATTGTGTAAGTTTGAACCTGCACATGAAAGTGTTGACAAAGGAGGAAAAGAAATCCTGAATATTTAATTGTGAAAATGTGGTTTGACTTCAATTATTATCAGTAATAGTTAATTAATTTAAATTTGGGGTTCTTGTTAACCCTAATCCTCAATATTATCTATTTGGAAAAAAATTATTCTTCATATTTTGTTGTTAACAGAAGTAACAAGTGAGGTCAACTTTATATTTTTTCTCAAATAAAAATATATCTTTGAACTTTGGTGAAGTCATCATGATGTAGTGATCATAAATGAACAACAGAAGCAGTACATATTAATTTAGAAAATGAACTATATTTAAAAAATATAAATTGAAAAAGCAACTTTTTACGTGACACGTGTTTGCCAGAGAAACATTTGATATATTTTAATGTAAGCACCATCCAGTAATTGTATTGATTATAGATATTTTGTTTCTTTGCTAATCATGTTGATACTGTTTGCTAAACTGCATTTTCTGGACTGTTTCAGTGTTGTGAGTGCAGAGAGTGCGTTTGATTTCTTCACATTTTCTCAACAATGGGCTCCATCAGTATGTATCGATGTATCTTCAGAGGTAAGCTGCAATATCTGTCTGGCTGCAGACTTTGGGTCGGTTACATCTGTATTTCACATACATGGCATGGTTGTGTGGATCCAAAAAATATATCTGAAATGGTGTATGGCTGTTGAGGAAAACTTGGATAGTATTGTGAATGGAGTGAGTATGGTTTTTTGCTGCTTTTAGCAATATATTAGCAATCAGAGGGGGAAGATGATGAGAGATTGGGGGGGGGAGACACCAGAATTGGGCTTCACCCATTATACCCTTGTGAATAGAACCTGAGCCTTTGGTGTGACGAAAGAACACTTTCACCACTTGGCTACCCAAAGGCCCTGTATGAGGAGAAAAATAACACCTATGGGTTGTACCATATACTGGAAGGTTTTGTTGGCGTGTTTGTTGTGCTATAGTTTGTAAATTTAAGCATAATAAACATGTCACCTCTTGTGTTGCAGCATCAGTGTGGTATTCCAGAGGCGGTGACTGGATGGACAGTCCATGGCTTATGGTGAGTTACCATGGGAACAAGATTCTCTGTGGGCATCCATTCGGTCAGAAGTACATCAGTTGAAAAAAAGGTCACCTGTAATAACCAATAATAGTAAAATCTTACGAATCAAGTATTAAATGTTGCTAATAAAGGTCATTATTTGCATGTGTATAATGAAACTCAAATACAAAGCAAATACCAGTGAAAATGGTGAACAACCCTAAATATAAGACGCCATATGAAAGAAAGAACAATGTGTACTAATGTGTACAAACGGACATCAAACACTATTGGACAACATTGACAATAAAGAACACCAGATGGTGCTGCAATATGTACATCATTTATTCGGCTGTGTATATGATAAGTGCATGCCGAGGTGCACAGTGTATTACACCATTCCCCGTGCACTCTCTGTGGGATGTCATATACATGTTGCAATTATATGTCGAGCAATGGGTCCTCAGCAACCGATGCTTGTTGTAAAAAGCAACTATGCTTGTCGTAAGAGGCGACTATTGGGATCGGGTGGTCAGACTCGCTGACTTGGTTGATGCATGTCATAGTATCATAAATCTCTGACATCTGCTTGTGTTTGGTAATTAGAGCATGTAACATGACCATGCTCATTATTCAAATGTGTCTCATCTGCAGGCCCAACAGTCGCAGTGGTAAAGAACCCAGTGACTGCAACAGCTCATGGCCATTCGACTTCGATAAAATTAAGGTACGTGGTACAGGGATGTATGTGGTACAGGTATGTACGTGGTACAGGGATGTACGTGGTACATACGTGGTACAGGGTTGTACGTGGTTCAGGGATGTACGTGGTACAGTGATGTACGTGGTACAGGGATGTATGTGGTACAGGTATGTACGTGGTACAGGGATGTACGTGGTACAGGGATGTACGTGGTTCAGGGATGTACGTGGTACAGTGATGTACGTGGTACAGGGATGTATGTGGTACAGGTATGTACGTGGTACAGGGATGTACGTGGTACATACGTGGTTCAGGGATGTACGTGGTACAGGGATGTACGTGGTACAGGGATGTACGTGGTACAGTGATGTACGTGGTACAGGGATGTACGTGGTACAGGGATGTACGTGGTACAGTGATGTACGTGGTACAGGGATGTACGTGGTTCAGGGATGTATGTGGTTCAGGGATGTACCTGGTTCAGGGATGTACGTGGTACAGTGATGTACGTGGTTCAGGGATGTACGTGGTACAGGGATGTACGTGGTTCAGGGATGTACGTGGTACAGTGATGTACGTGGTTCAGGGATGTACGTGGTACAGGGATGTATGTGGTTCAGGGATGTACCTGGTTCAGGGATGTACGTGGAACAGGGATGTACGTGGAACAGGGATGTACGTGGAACAGGGATGTACGTGGAACAGGGATGTAAGTGGTACAGGGATGTAAGTGGTACAGGGATGTAAGTGGTACAGTGATGTACGTGGTACAGGGATGTACGTGGTACAGGGATGTATGTGGTACAGTGATGTACGTGGTACAGTGATGTACGTGGTACAGGGATGTACGTGGTACAGTGATGTACGTGGTACAGGGATGTACGTGGTACAGTGATGTACGTGGTACAGGGATGTACGTGGTACAGTGATGTACGTGGAACAGGGATGTACGTGGAACAGGGATGTACGTGGTACAGTGATGTACGTGGTACAGGGATGTACGTGGTACAGTGATGTACGTGGTACAGGGATGTACGTGGTACAGGGATGTACGTGGAACAGGGATGTACGTGGAACAGGGATGTACGTGGTACAGGGATGTATGTGGTACAGTGATGTACGTGGTACAGGGATGTACGTGGTACAGTGATGTACGTTGTCCAGGGATGAACGCGGTACAGGGATGTACGCGGTACAGGGATGTACCTGGTTCAGGGATGTACGTGGAACAGGGATGTACGTGGAACAGGGATGTACGTGGAACAGGGATGTACGTGGTACAGGGATGTACGCGGTACAGGGATGTACGCGGTACAGGGATGTACCTGGAACAGGGATGTACGTGGAACAGGGATGTAAGTGGTACAGGGATGTACGTGGTACATACGTGGTACAGGGTTGTACGTGGTTCAGGGATGTACGTGGTACAGTGATGTACGTGGTACAGGGATGTATGTGGTACAGTGATGTACGTGGTACAGTGATGTACGTTGTACAGGGATGAACGCGGTACAGGGATGTACGCGGTACAGGGATGTACCTGGTTCAGGGATGTACCTGGTTCAGGGATGTACGTGGAACAGGGATGTACGTGGAACAGGGATGTACGTGGTACAGGGATGTACGCGGTACAGGGATGTACGCGGTACAGGGATGTACCTGGTTCGGGGATGTTCGTGGTACAGTGATGTACGTGGTACAGGGATGTACGCGGTAGAGGGATGTACGCGGTACAGGGATGTACCTGGTTCAGGGATGTACGTGGTACAGTGATGTACGCGGTACAGGGATGTACCTGGTTCAGGGATGTACGCGGTACAGGGATGTACGCGGTACAGGGATGTACCTGGTTCAGGGATGTACGCGGTACAGGGATGTACGTGGTACAGGGATGTACCTGGTACAGGGATGTACGTGGAACAGGGATGTACGTGGTTCAGCGATGTACCTGGGTCTAATCATTTTGAGACCCCTGTGGAGGTCAGTTTGTGTCCCATGGAATTCTCGGTATTCATTAATTGAGGTCCATTCTGAATTTCTAGGTATAGACAGTAACATTTTGTGTTCAGTGTAAATCCCTGATGGTATGAGGTACTGAAGCAAGTGAGGGGTGAGACAACAGCCTTTTGTCGTTGCTATGATGTGATTGGGGAAAATAAATCTCAAAATGACACCTTTGTGTCCATATGTCGTTCTGCAACTTTAAGTAATTGTTTCTGTCCAGTAAGCTCAGCTAAAAATGGCACATGTATTTACATTAAAATATACTGAAATATGCCACATTCAAGTTTTGGCTGGAACACTCACCAATGTTTGGAACAGACTGATGAGTATTATTGCATCAAGGAAACCTGCCTCTCATTTAATTTAATATCGTTGTAAAAGATTTGCAAAAATCTTATGACATGATAAGTAATCTGAGGGTGTTTCATGACTTCTGTCTTCAGCATCATTTTATTATTTTTGTCAGCCATTTTGTTATGTCATCTTTTCTTTCATCCATTGTTTTAGTCGTTGGAGACCAACCTGACTGCACAATGGCCTAACCTGTTTACTGATACAGCCAAAAACGACTTTTGGTATGTATATTAATGTCGACGATAGTAACATGCTGAAGCATTGAAAGTGTTTGGTTACACCCAATGGTCAACATGATCAGGGGCATTTTGTTATGTTAATTAGTCTAGTTTTATGTGAACTTTTTATACAAATTTAACAAGATTGGAAATTAATTTTGTTGGATTATGGTAGGTTCTGGCAGCACCTTTAGTTTCTACACATATTAAGTTGACATTCTGTAATATATCTGACATAGTGGTCAAAGTGGTGTTGAACACACTCACCTGTGCAAGCTATTGAAGGGAGCTAACTCCCAATACATTGTTTCTTGGTAAGATAATTTCCAGAATTCACGATTGACTGAAGTGAAGTATAATTCTTGACAATGCCTGTGTGTGTGTGTTGCAGGTCACATGAATGGGACAAGCACGGCACCTGCGCCACCAGTCTGCCGGCCACAGACAATGAGTTTAAATACTTTAGTGCAGCCCTCCAACTCAATAAGAAGCTTGATTTACAACAGTAAGTATGGTAGCAGATTTAATAGAGGACCACCTTCCTTGGATGCTGTGGTGAATTATTTCAAAATGTACATCAAGGTCATATTTGTATAAAAATGTTTCATTTTACCTCAAAATTCTTGCAGCAATCATTATTTTATCATGTCTATAGTTGCTCACCACAGCAATTTAGAAAAGAGGAATAGTGGAATATAAATCAAACAATTTTTCCAACCATGCCACACTTTTAGGTAAGTGCATAATATGACAGTCGTTTGTGAAAAACAATATGGTAACATGGTAACCATGTAGTGTTTGTTTCAACAAAGCAGTAATAGATGTGGAGGCATTGATATTGATGAATGGAAAAGGGCATGTGCACACACGTTTTCCTGTTTAGATTATATTTTCTTGGATGGACATACATTATACTGTAGTGGGAACAAGGAACATGACACTATCTTTTTACAATTTCTTTAGGTTGTTTAGGTATTTTCTGGTGAACCTTACTTTCTGTTTCCCTGCGCTGTGTATATGTGATGGCATAGATCCATGACTTGAGATGCACCATTAGTGCAGGATTAGTGTGTAAAGTTTGGAAATCTTTTAATCATGTGCAGCATATCGTGACAAGACTAAAGAAACTCTGTGTTAAACTTGACTGACTGTTAGTTTTGTCATTAATTGGTACACATTGGAAAAATCTCTTCTTAACAATGTTAACATTCATACTTCTCTATATGTTTCTATGGTTTGTGTTTCTTGTGGCAGTGAGTATTTAATGGCTTAATATCTCTTAAATATGCATGTACACATGCTGCAGTATATCGCCATAATTGAGCACTCTCTTATTGTTTGTAGGGGGGGGGGGCACAGGTGGCCCAGTCATCTAAGGTGCTGAGAGTTGTGTCCCTTGAAGTTTATGATTGTGGGTTTGAATCCTAGTTCACCCCGATTATGTTTTCTAGGTTTGTCAGCACCATACCCATGCTCACAGGTTTCACAGAAGTGGTAAACGTCGGAGACTTGTATCACTTCGGACTTTCCTCCCACAATAAGCTGACACGCTGTGATATAACTGGAATAATGTTTAAAGCGGTGTTAAAAGCATCTCACTCACTATTGTTTGTAGAATGTATTAAGTGTGATTCTTGTATGTTTTTATTTTTTTATGGAATGTGTGTTTAAAGCTGCTATAATTATGTTACTATCAGTGCCTCCAGTGTTGAATAGTGTAGTCATCAGAGCTAACAAGAACTTCTACATGTTTCAGGGTGCTGAAGACATTTGATGTCATCCCATCTAAAAGCACTGGCTACAAGGTCAGTCTCTCATCACCTGAATGATCACTGGCAGATCTAGGGGTGGGATGTGGGGAAGGGTGGGATGTGGGGAAGGGTGTGGTGTGGGTTTGCAAGGGTGTGCAACCCCCACTTTTTTCAGACACCTTACATGTTAGCTGTGCACTCGGCCAAGTGAATTCATGACATGGATATTCTGTGCACCCCTTTTTTCAAAATCCTTCATCCATCCCTGATGATTGCTGTTGATCAGCATCTGTGTGCGTAATATGTTCTATATTACATCAGTCTGTTTCAAATATTTTGGTCCACTAGCCTGAACAGCGCTATAAGTATCAGTTTCAGTAGAGTGTTGTGTTATACCTCTATTAAGAATCTTGCAATTCAATCCATATCATGTGGAGAAACAAAACATTTCAGTGTAGACCCATAAATCATGTATCTGACACTGACCTCGAATAATGACTTATCACATGATTAGTATTCATCTGTCATGTGATGAATATTGACTCGTCTGCTAGAAAACAAGATGGCGTCTGGAACGAACAGTTCACGGTTCACAGAAAAGTTACTGTAATGTAACAGGACAGTTTAAAGACTTCATAAACTTTCAAGTGAATTTTGGTATAACAAGACAAATGATCACTATTAAGGAGGTAAATATGTGAAAACAAGGACGTATGACCACCTCAGGGGTTGGGTCCTTGGGTCCTTGTCGTATATTGATCTCATCAAGAGTAATTATAAGTATAGTGCTATTTGGACTATTATTCGCAGACTTTACTTGACTGAACATAATTTTACCAGACTCGAGATTCCGACATGTTTACATCTTTGGTAATTGGTAAATGTAGTTTTACTGATAGAATGATGGGTTGGACTATTGTATTGAATGTGGTACATACATTCATTTACTGAAAAGTTAAATCTACACTTTACTCAACACTTGCTATATAGAAATCACTCACTGTCAGGAATGTTTACAAACTTGTGACATTATTTATAGTGGTGTGATATATAGTGTGTTTGGAAAAGTTTTCCTACTAATTTGTAATAATCACATCAAGCTTGTAGGTATGCTGATATTTCCATGTTTAGTGACATAGCTTTCAACACCTGAAGAAAACCTCAGCTGTGTCTTGAGTTCATTGTCTCTTATTCTCCACTACCTTTCAGGTAACGGAAGTCAGTGATCTCTTGAAGAAATATTTTGGATCAACTCCTGTGATGCGCTGCTCATACCAAAAGGTACTTTTTGTTAGTGAGTGAGTGAGTATGGTATTACTCGCTTTTAACAATATTCCAGCAATATTATGGCAGGAAACACCAGAAAAGGGCTTCACACATTGCACCCATGTGAGGAGCTGACACAGGTCTTCAGCGTGACACTAGGCTACCTCACTCTCACTTGTTAAGGGGAACTCATGTTACAACACGTGAGCTTGCCTTCAAAACTATGCAATCTTGTTCATTAAAAATTCTTATTTGTCTATCCCATATATGGCACTCATGTGACCTTTTAGATGTGTCCTATTCATAGTCCCCTGAAGCTAGTATTACTGAAGTTTCAACATCTCCCCCAAAACCCTGGATTTATAAAGATGAAATAATATTGAATGTTTTGAGAACACGGTCTTGATCCAATTTCACTTTACTTCTTCAGGCGACAAAGAGGCAGTTTTTCATGGAGATTGAGATATGTGTTGACAAATCCTTCAAGCTGATGGATTGTGACTCCAAACTCCTATCTGCCCAGGCCAACCTGACCCAGGCTGAAGAATGCCAATCTTCTGAAATAACCTACCTCTACCCGCTTCCTACAGCAAATTCCAATAAAAAACATTAAGTCTACATTTCCCAGAAATAGTTTATTTTTATAAGTTTCAGCGTAAAATACTTCACATGAAAAAAAACCCATTTGACACATATTTGTTCCGGTGCTAGCTACGTAAAGTTCAGTAATACATATATACTACTCAAAACAATTCTTTCATATTACATTAGTTAACCTCATATAGTTAATTATAGCATTACAGATTAACTGTGGTAAGATGAAAGACTTGGGTGCTCTTTGAGTAGCCTTATCGATGAACTACATTAAACTGTTGGATTCTTAAAAGTTAGAGGTGGCCACATGTGCCTAAGTCTAGTGTTTGTTGTCTTTTGGATGCATTTTGGACCCTACTCATTCTGATGTGCAGGCCTGTTCATGGTTGTCTTTTACAGCCACAATGTTGATATAATGAGACAATGAAAGAAACTTTTCATTATTTTTTAGAGGTCAAAGTTACAAGATGTTTTGCATTGACCATGACAAAGTACAGGACACACAAAAATGATATTTTGTTCAAATTTCATTTTAAGGTTTCAAACCCAGGTATACATTCCTCCTGTTGTCTGTATTTAGGCCACAGTGAATTAATCATATAGTTTCCATCCTGGCTGTTTGGTAAAATTGAGGTGTGTAAAAAATTAATTTTCTTTCTTAAATGGACAAGGTCAATTTAGGACATATGAGAGAAATGTGCATTAAGAAGGTCCGCTGTTCAGAAATGTATTATGGTTTTATTACGGTCTAATTCATTGTCAGTAATCTCGGGTCTAGGCAAAACCTTCATTTTGTCAGCTGAAGTAAAACTGTACACAATGTCCTAAAAACCTGGATTTAATGATTGATTCTTTCTATATCTGTTCTGTATTATATACTAGTATATTGGACATTATAGTTGCCCATTACAGGCTCTGTGAGGAGATTACTTCAACAATACTTACAGAGGGCCAGGGATCAGTGCTGTTATGTTGAACCCAACTCTCTCTCTCTGTCACTAGAGCCCTGGGTGGATCTCCTTGGGTTCCACTTCTGTGAAGAAGCACTGACCTTATAAGCCTTTGTTAGCATCAAAATAGAATTTATTTTGTTCCATGAACAATATCCTGTGCATAGCATTGTTGATGGGGGAGGAGAAATCAGTGTATGGATTCATTTTAGACTGTAACTGATGTTTATGTATTATGGTGTATTATGTGATGACTAATGCTCAATGTGGTGCACTCAGTGACTTGGCTGATGCATGTCATCATATCCCAGTTGCATGCTCCTGATGTCAATCACTGGATTGTCTGGTCCAGATTCAATTATTTACAGATAGCCATTATTTAGCTGGAATATGCTGAGTGTGGCTTAAAGAACAAACAAACAAACAAACAAAATGATACAGTGTGACACTCATACATATGCATCCTTGTATGGCAGCATAGCTTGTATGGCAGCATATAGCTCCAGTGCATCAATACAATATGGCATAGTTTCACACCAGTCATCACAATATGGTCAATGTAAAAGTGTTGTGAATGGAATATTTCCTTTACTGATAGATTGATTTTATTATAGTGTTAGCTCAGGTATGGCATTATTGTATCTAGAAATAAACTGTCTGATAAACTTGCGACAAATATTGTAAAAAAACGAGTAAAGTTCAAAACTGGATACATTCTGAAATTAAGAAGAAAATACAGTTGACTTGCACATGAACATTATTTTACAATACCAGAATGAATGGAACATTATTAGCAGGTGGATAGTAGATTTAGTTGTGAAAAGAATAGGAGCTACATCCTCGATTATCAAGTGTGTCATATCTCCATTCTAGTAGGGGGCACAGGTGGCTCAGTCATCTGAGGTGCCGTGATTCGCTGTGCAGAGTTGCGTCCCTTGGGCATGCCAGAAACCTATGATTGTGGGTTCGAATTCCGGTTCTCCCCAATGATGTTTCTAGGTTTGTCAGCACCATACCCGTGCTCGTGGGTTTTACTGAAGTGGTAACCGTCTGAGACCTGCATCACTTCAGGCTTTCCTCCCACATTAAGCTGACACGCCGTGATATAACTGGAATACTGTTAAAGGCGGCGTTAAACCCAACTCACTCACTCACTCACTCACTCCATTCTAGTATATATATACTCTGGACACAGTGATGTGATCTTTCTTATCAGCAACATATCAATGATTTTCTCTTGCCCTTGAAATCAATAGCCAATCAAAATGGCTCCTCTGAACGTTAGTTTGGCATCGATATACATTAAAGATCACGGCATTATACCAGCATGCCCCTGATACATTTAATCCAATCAGAAGTCTGTTACGATGACCGTAAAGTTAGAAAGTGTTTTCTTGAGTATTAAGATAGGGAGAGGGAAGTCTTTTTGCTACTTGTAATTTCCCAGTTGTATTTGAGACAGCACCCAACTTGGTGAGTCAAGTACTGATGATATGGTTGCTTGTCAATTCTAAAAGAACAGGATAGTTTGGTCTTTGGATGGCTATTTTTAGTGTCGATCATTCAAACAAGATTCAAAATGTAAATATTGCGTTGAATGGTTCGATGTATTTATCATGATAGAATGACGATGTCATACAGTCTTCAATGGATAAGGTCAGAAAAGGCTCTGCATGTAATCTGCTTTCTAATTTAATCTTTTTCATTCTCTTATTTCTTTTGTTTGAGTCTCTGTGATTCTCAAACTGTGGATAAGTTCCACTAAAATGCCTATTGTTGAGGCTGTATGTTATTTGTCATATCAAAACTTTCTCAGGAATATGCATACCGTATTCGACGTAATAAGCGCCCCGCTCTAATAAGCGCCCACGGCGATATTTGCTAATATATTGGCTAGTGAACAAACCCAATTAGCACCCCTTCCGATTGATCAATGTACACAAGACTTATTTATTCGCGTATAATACTCACTCATGTTTTATATGCACCCTTAATTATGGGCAAATAAATTCTGGAAAAATATATCTGTCGTATATAAACATATAAGGCTGTCAGCATAAACCACAAAATTTATCTTTTAACTCTGCCCCCTATTTCTAATTTTGAGAGCGCCCTGGGCGCTTTGTACGTCGAATACGGTAAATAACACTTATTTACAATGCAGACTGAAGCAGAAGGGTTTTCACTTTATCATTATGATTTCTATTGAAATTACCTGCTGTATACACTTTTGAATACTGTTTTCTGTGTGTCTGCTTGATGCATGTGGAATATTTAGCAATGTGGGTCCTGGTGGCTGGTGATCTGCTTGTAATAGTAGGTATAAGTTGTGATGAAGCTTAGTTATGTGTTGTAATATCTCCTGTTACCTCATTTATGAATCGTATATTGGTTTGTTACACATATTTTTGTTACAGGTGTGTGTGGGACATCTTTATGTTTAGTAAATACGGGACAAGGATTAGACATGAGGCAAACCAGTGCTAAGGTCAAATTCAAGACTGGTACAAGTAGATTTTGCAGTAGTGATGTTGGCAGCCAGGTTTGTTCCAATTTCAGCTGTGAGGTGATTGGTTAATGAAGTAATACTGGTTGGGTGTATCTCGGCTATGGTGCCATGTAAAGTTCATTCACATTGATTGATGGGTGACTTGGTTAAAACTTGACACTTTGAGAGTTTATGGTGATTTGGTCTTGCCCCACGTCTGTTTGGGCATGTGGCATTGTTTGAAATATGCCTCTGTTCACCCAGCAGTAAATGGGTACCTGGTAGGATGAGATTGTCATGTAAGTGTTAACCTTCTCGCACCTCAGACAGCATGGGTTGTATACACATTTGAGAACTGAGAATGACATGAGAGCATACTGAGTAATTCATGGGGGTGATAATGACGTAGTACTTTGAGTGTGCACTAGTGTATAGAATCTAGTGCATATTATTATTATTATTATTATTATTATTATTATTATTATTATTATTTCCATATATCTAAATGTATCCTGGGATGTATGTTTACATCATTAGATACCGTTGCTTTATACACAAGTTTCTATAGGGATAGTTTCACAGTTTTACCACAGTCACCACTTGACTCTGACTAATGAATCTCTAGGTACAAAGATAGTGTCACTTCACCCTGTAAAAGTACTGCCCTGGGACCCATCTCACAAAGCCATATAAAGCTATGACTACTGTAAGTCTATTTACCCTATGGCATTTGCGGCAGTTGCAGAACTACAATGTCCTTGTGAAACTGAACCCTTGTCAGTGAGTATGGCCAAATGAACCAAGGGTACATTTTGATGTTAACACAGTCGTGACAGACTCCATCAACAGAGATGTTCTTTTATTACCCAATGTATGGTATTATATGTCCAGATTGTTTAAATTCTTCTGTGAAATGCTGCTATATGTACATCTCCATTTACAGTGCTACTGTAACGGAATTGGTTGCTTCTAAACATCATCATGCATTCCATGCTCCTATATGAAAAACCACTTGTCCTCACAACTGATGCTGCTATTCAGGGTTTGTAAAGTTATTTAGAATTATTTCATATTATATTTTGAGAATAAATATTTTTGCCTCTGTTGTTTTTATGTTTTGTATATGAATGTTTAAAGTGTTCCAGTCTTGCAATGATGATTCTGTATCTACAAATAATGCTATCTAATATATGATTTCATTTACTGACACTGAAGATGCTAATTAAACTTGTTAAATAGGGAGTGAGATTGTCTGACTTTTACTGTTTTAGTGATATTCTAGCAATATGACGCCAGGTAAGAAAGCATTTTACCAGGAATGCTGCCATTTATTGAGTGCATTGTATAAACTTCTTCCCTTGTGTCAGTTTCTGAGTTTTCCAGCTGCCTCTAAAATGTTGGGGCGTTCATTTTAGTGTTAGTGTGTGAGGGTTAGTGTTAGTGTTAGTGTGTGGGTTAGTGTGTGCGTGTGAGTGTGTTTGTGTTAGTGTGTGTTAGTGTGTGTGTGTGTGAATGATTGCAGATGAGCTATTAGTAGACAGTAAAGGACCCATAACATGAAACAACCTTAGCTAAGCTTAACCCTAACCACTAAAATTTGAATCAAGGTTAACTTAGTATGAAGTTACGCCTATTTTACAAAGCAACTGTAGGTCAATGTCAATCTGAACGCTTGGGTTGCGATCGCCTGTTGCGATCTATGACATCACCTGTTGAAACCATTGGTCGATATGCTGTTAACATAACAGTTCAGGGTTTTTTGCCTGTTTCTAACACAAATTTTAAATGCAATGATTTAGACCGCTTCTAATAATCGTCCAATGTAATATCTAAACATGAACGGTTACACAACTATCCCTAACTTTCACCATGTTGGTAACCTACTTTTCTTCTAAGCATACATACGTACTGTTTGAATTCCATGGGTAAGAGCTGTATTTAATTAATCTTAAGTAACATCGTATGGCACAGCAAATTCTAGATAAACAAGTTACATCAGTTGCCCCTCAACTACCAAAAATGAATCCAATCGCGGAAATAGTTTCGAGCTTCACAGGAAGATTAATATGTTTTTATTCTAAGTTGTCACTCAAAGAATTGTTTTCCATTCAACCTTTCATTAATTGGCAAGTTTTGTCAAGACTAAACAACTCACATACTCATGTGTTAGAAGGTACACAATTCCTGATATAATGTGAATTAACTAAGTGCAATAAACGAAATGAAATTACAGAATATTATTTTCTATTTAACTATTTTTCTTCACATATAAAACCTGTTATCACGGAAGTCAAAGAAAATATCAACTTTAAATTTGACCCCCATCCCCCCATTGATAATACGGGCTCAGGTAGGTTTAGCACACCCAATAACCCCCCTCTCCTCGCATGACCCCCACGACCCCCCCGACACGCTAGCTAACCAATATTATTGTCTGTTTTGAAATTCACCTTCTATTTGTCAGCATGTACAATTACTATCCTGAAATACTTGTTTCAATAATATTTTGACAAATAGTGTCATCCGCAAATAAACGTATGTGCCACTACTACAATCCAATATTCACAAAGGTGGTTATCACAGAGGCTTGATGTACTCGTGTAGTTCGGGAATGGTTGCCGGAGAAACTACCATCCACAGAAACACCCTATGACCTACCTGAGATGTAATGTTTCCCGAAAGCTAGGTTAACAGGCGACAGTGATTAGTGCCATACTCTGTTCAAGATTTAGAATTACAGTGGAACCTCGTCAATATGGAGGGTACCGACCCAAATACTCCAGATTATCAAATTACCGGATTAACGAATCATGGTTTCGGATTAAGGTCCTTGGTATCGTTTGAAACTTTTCTAACAGTGATCATCCAGAATAGCATTAATTTGTTTTTGTTTGTTCGTTTGTTGTTTAACGCCGCACTTAGCAATATCCAGCTATATTACGTCGGTCTGTAAATAAACGGGCTTGGACCAGACAATTCAGTAATTGACACAGTGAGCATCGATGCACGCAATTGGGATACGGTGACATGCATCAACCAAGTCAGCGAACCTGACCACCCGATCCCATGTGTCGCACCTTACGAAAAGCGTGGGTTGCTGAAGACCAATTCTAACCCGGATCCTCACGGACCGGAATAGCAGGGTATGTACTTACGAGGTTTCTTTATCACAAATATACTGATGGAACGGCGTTATATTTTTAATTAATTGGTTTACAAAGTGCTTGACCAAAAATTCAAGTTGGATGGTCGAAAACTACTGTTTCCGTTATTGAAAACCAAACTCGTAGGTCACACCACAACAGAAGTAGGATTGCGAAAAGATACCGAAAGATAATCGACTGTTTTTTAATTATTATTATTTTTTTACGTATTATTCATTTCTTAAGAACAGCAAAGATAAAATCTCGTTTCTAATTGTGATGCAGTCATCCCAAATTTTAGTTTTTTTTGTAGGTCGGCTCGTAAACCAACTGAATCAGGCCAAAGAAAATAAATACACCGCACAAATTTGTCCAAAGTTTTCAATATCTTATATGTTGATATGAAGCAGTTACATTGAATGCACAAGTTACTCTCTTCTGTATTGATGTAAGGGCGGTGGGGTAGCCTAGTTGTTACATCGTTTGCTCGTCACGTCGAAGACCCGGGTTCGATTCCCCACATGGGAACAATGTGTAAAGCCCATTTCTGGTGTCCTCCGCCGTGGTTTTGATGAAATATTGCTAAAAGCGGCGTAAAACCATATTCACTCACCCACTCAGTAACATGTGCTATGAAAAGGCGTTGTTGGAGCATACAATACAAACCCCCCAAACGTACTGTAAAAAATAATGAAGTATTATTTACCAAACATGACCTATTGCCAAACAGAAATTAGTTTCAAAAGAGCATATATATACTCACTGTATGTTCGCATTTTTGTTTCTAACAGTATATAAAAAAAGAGAACTACCTGGCGTGACACCTGGCCCACTTGCACAAAGCAATCTTAGCGCTAAGATGACCGTAACTCCCATACTTTAACATAGGTGAGGTGAGGTGAAATTGGGTTTAACGTCGCGTCCAAGATTATTGCACTTATATAGCGACGTGCATGCACGTGTGTGTGTGTGGCTGCTTGTTCTAGTCCGGACTGATGCCGATTTATAGTGCTAGCCCACTGAGATACCATGCCGCAGTTAAACATGAATACCCCACTCAGACACAGTATACTGACTCCGAGCCGACAAGTCCTTGCTTTAGCCCCTTAATGCCGAGCGCCAGACAGGGTAACAACAAGTACCATCTTGACGCGGCCGGGGATCGAACCCCGGACCTTCCGCTCTCCGGGCGGACGCTCTACCACTAAACCACGGGGGCGGTCACTTTAACATAGGCTTACAATAGTCGTAGCGCTAAGATCGCTTTGTGCAAGTGGTGGTTCCGTTCCACAAAGCGATCTTAGCGCTAGGACAGTTAAAGCATATGCATTTGAGTAACGAATGTGCAAAGATTACACTGAACAGTGCCATGAAGCACGTGGTCCATCAGAGAGTCTTGTAAATATTGATCCAATATCAAGCATGACAGTTTTCTCCATAATACATTGTTTCAATTATTTGTACCTTCATATATGTCCAACTATCAGGTGATCTACAGAACATACCACCATTCCCAGTTATGAACAGCCATCTATAGTGATGTTATCGTTGGCAGTGCATGCATCTCGAACTAAGTCAATAGCGCTTTAAGTACAGCATCTGTACTTTGTTTTCAGTTCGTGATGATGTAGTACAGACTAGGTCACGTGACATGATATGAAGAAACAGGAAACAATTCAATGAAACAATGTAGATGCTTCATTGTTTTACTGTTGTATTTGCTGCATCTACACCATCTTCTGTTAATAGCAGGTTGATTCGTATCACAATGAGATGCTAATAAAAGCGACAAAATCATTTCCTAAACCATAGTGTGTCCAACTTTCAGTGTGGTGAAGCACTTGGAGCAGTCTCTCTCTCTCTCTCTCTCTCTCTCTCTCTCTCTCTCTCTTCCTCTCTCTCTCTCTCTCTCTCCCTCTCAGTATTCAGTATATAATTACACGACCCTAAACTGTCGGCTTGACCAAAATAGATGCAGCTGCACAAAAAAACAACAACATCAAAGCAGGACAAATGAAATAAAATTCTTACCGTAATTGCTGGCGACCAAACATGTCTGTATTGGAAGTCGTCATAGCAAATGAATATTTTCATATGGGGAAACTAATTGCGGAAGTAAATACTATACGTTATCTCAAGGGCATTATCATCTTCAGAACGAGGTCTGCCATTTTAGCTGTATTACACGATAATATTCGTCCTGATTTGTGTTAGTAACTCCACTTCCGTTTTCGACGTTGCAGGAAGTGTTGCCCTGACTGGAGTGACAGCTGCCCGGCTGCACATCTCTGGACCCCGTCAAGCAGCAAGGTAAGCCTGGGTGAAGCACCTTTGTCTTAAGGAACTTGGTAATGTCAGGCTTGTAGCATGGTATGGGAATTATTGTAATAGTCATTGAAATACTGCTTTAAGCTTTGTTTTAAACATAAGGACAACTTTGCTCGTGACACGGGAACACGGGGAAGTAAATCGTCTATTATTTTGTCACCTCGACAGTTCCATGTTTGTCGAAATGCCATGACAAGCGGGTATTAGGAGTTGAATTCGTCACAGCTCCTCCTTACAAAGTCAGCGTTCTCCAGCAGCGAAGTTGCAGTATTTATTCGAAACTACCACCCCCCCCCCCCCCCTCCCCCCCGAAGCTATATCTAACTAACTATTTCCTTACTGAGCCTCCTGATACAAACTAATTATTTTCACGAGTAAAGCACACACTTGTTTTGATGTTTTTGTATTTTCCACAAAATATTGTGTACGTATCGACATTCCACTTTAGCTGCGTTATCGTCCGTCCAATGACTGATTGGGTTTTCACATTTACACTTAAGAATACACTATTACTTCTTCATGATTGTATTACTGATCGCTTCCGTCGAAAGGCGCTTCTTGTTGATACCCTTCCTGGCGTATGGCATTAAGGGGCTAAAACAAGGATTGGTCGGCTCGGGGTCAGTACACTGAAGGCCGGACTAGCACACACACGAACGCACACGCACGCACACACACGTTATATAAATGCACCCTTTTCTACCTCACCTAACCCCATGTATTACTGTTGTTTGTAACACCATGTCTCTTGAGACAGATTTTGCATTTTACTATGTAACTCTTCCTTTTTATAATGACACAGTGAGTACAGTGTTTCAGGGTACCTGAGATGTACATAATTGTTTCAGGGTTAAAGCATGCAACAACCCATTCATTATCCGTTGTACATAGGTTTAATAATAACTTGATTTCAAGAAATACAGTTATTGATTTTTGACAATTCAAACAAACTATACATTTGTTCCACCAGTGCAAAAACACTATTTATTTTGGGCACTGATGGAACAAATTATTTATTTGAAAAATCCCTCACTCACATTATCTTGACCACGCTATTGAGATGATGAGAGTACTGTGCTTGTAAACATGTTAAAAACTGTCGGTTATATGAACTTAATGCGTGTTTGTCGCAAGCTTATGTTTCTAATGTGGCAAGGAAAGAGCCGAACCAGGATATTGAAATGGTGATTAGAATTTGCAAACACGGAAGAAGCCTGTGGCATCGGGACAAAATCGTGATCCAAATTACGTCGATCAGTTACCACGTGTTTATACTCGTGTTTAAGTCACCTGATAAGGAAGCAGAATCATTGCGAAAGTTCATTAGTCACTCACTCAGGTTACAACAAATCTGGTCTGATAAGCGGATAATCAAGACTGGAAATTCTCTTGCACAGATATTTTATATTTACATCTGTGTCAACTTGAATGAGTGTGTAGGGCATTTAACAATACTCCAGGCATAAAACGGCTTGGGGAGCCAACACGGCGGGATCACTCCACCCTCCTTTTTGTCAACTTGAAATGGATCTGAAAGTGCTCGAGTACATTGTTATATCGAACTATTTTCTAAGCACAAGTCTCCAAGTCACATTCACTGTACCCCTGGACACTCAATACATCCCTATCAATAGTTGAGTAGTATACACATCGCAAAATGTTATGTGATGCATGTTTTATGTCCATCTTTATTTTTCAGTTGAGAGCTCCGTCGCAAAACGCTGAACAAAATGGCGGTACGGGGAATTGTGATCGTTCTGTCTCTTTCCTTAATAAACACGTGAGTGTTTTTAAATTAAATTCAATGACTGGTAGTTTCGAATGCTGAAATTCACCCATGAGTGCAGTACATATAGTGAGTGAGTTGGTTTTAACATCGCTTTGAACAGTATTTCAGTTATGTCACGGCGTGTCAGCTTAATGATGGAGGAAAGTCCGAAGTGATGCAGGTCTCACATGTTGACCGGTTTGGTGAAACCCTCGAGTATGGGTATGGTGCTGACAAACATAGAAATCACCAGGATTCGAACACATGATAATAGGTGTCTGGCACACCCAAGGGACGCAACTCTGCATATATTCCTCTACTTCTTTGCGTCATATGATGTGAACCAGTGCGTGTGTCCATCCAAAGAAACATGTGGTCTCCCTTTGCCAACCTGGTCAGGTAGCAGTGGTATCTGATACAATTGTCCAAATGAGGTCCGTGCCATATGCGGATGTTTCCAAACATTGCATGGAAGTCATATGAAAATAATGTGGGAGTAGTGTTTAGCTTTTTTTGCTGTATATTAACCGTATAGCTATGCATAATCCTTTTCATTTCAAGGAGTGATAAAAATACTTTTTGGCCCATGTTTTTAAGAAAGTCATGAGGAATACCTCTACAAATCACTTTGAAAGTTATCAGATATGTTCATATACATGAGAATTAGAATTTTAAACAATTGCATGTTTGGGACTTACAGCAAGAGTAAATACATAGATCAGGCTAAACGTGCCACAGAGGCTGATTTGAAAGGTTTTCAAATAACGCTTTTCTAAAATTTGAAAAAGAGCAAGTCTTTAATCTAGACTGGTCTTCTTATGGGGTGTACATAAAACGTTACAAACATATGGTGAATATTTCATCTCGGGTCACGGACCAATCATACTTAGATTTAAATATTACTACTAGACTACCAGGACATAGTGACCACGTGGTATCTGTATATAACGTACATGCTTATATATCACTACTAAAGTACCATCACGATATGGCTGAAATATTGCCGATGTGACTTAAACTTTTAACTCACTCACTTAAGTACCAGGGCATAGTGACCCCATGGTATCTATAAACAACGTACATGCTTATACATGTATGGCACTACTACACTACCAGGGCATAGTGACCCCATGGTATCTGTATAGAACATACTTTGGCATAGTGACCCCATGGTATCTGTATACAACTTGCATGCTTATATATCACTACTACACTACCAGGGCATAGTGACCCCATATTATCTGTATACAACGTACATGCTTATAAATCACTACTACACTACCAGAACATAGTGACCCCATGGTATCCGTATACAACTTGCATGCTCAAAGATCACTACTACACTACCAGGGCATAGTGACCCCATGGTATCTGTATACAACTTGCATGCTTATATATCACTACTACACTACCAGGACATAGTGACCCCATGGTATCTGTATACAACGTACATGCTTATACATGTATGGCACTACTACACTACCAGGACATAGTGACCCCATGGTATCTTTATAGAACATACTTCGGCATAGTGACCCCGTGGTATCTGTATACAACGTACATGCTTATATATCACTACTAGACTACCAGGGCATAGTGACCCCATGGTATCTTTATAGAACATACTTCGGCATAGTGACCCCGTGGTATCTGTATACAACGTACATGCTTATATATCTCTACTAGACTACCAGGGCATAGTGACCCCATGGTATCTTTATAGAACATACTTCGGCATAGTGACCCCGTGGTATCTGTATACAACGTACGTGCTTATATATCACTACTAGACTACCAGGGCATAGTGACCCCGTGGTATCTGTATACAACGTACATGCTTATATATCAATACTAGACTACCAGGACATAGTGACCCCGTGGTATCTGTATACAGCATACGTGCTTATATATCAATACTAGACTACCAGGGCATAGTGACCCCGTGGTATCTGTATACAACGTACGTGCTTATATATCAATACTAGACTACCAGGGCATAGTGACCCCGTGGTATCTGTATACAACGTACATGCTTATATATCAATACTAGACTACCAGGGCATAGTGACCCCGTGGTATCTGTATACAACGTACGTGCTTATATATCAATACTAGACTACCAGGGCATAGTGACCCCGTGGTATCTGTATACAGCATACGTGCTTATATATCAATACTAGACTACCAGGGCATAGTGACCCCGTGGTATCTGTATACAACGTACGTGCTTATATATCAATACTAGACTACCAGGGCATAGTGACCCCGTGGTATCTGTATACAACGTACATGCTTATATATCAATACTGGACTACCAGGGCATAGTGACCCCGTGGTATCTGTATACAACGTACGTGCTTATATATCAATACTAGACTACCAGGGCATAGTGACCCCGTGGTATCTGTATACAACGTACATGCTTATATATCACTACTAGACTACCAGGGCATAGTGACCCCGTGGTATCTGTATACAACGTACATGCTTATATATCAATACTAGACTACCAGGGCATAGTGACCCCGTGGTATCTGTATACAACGTACGTGCTTATATATCAATACTAGACTACCAGGGCATAGTGACCCCGTGGTATCTGTATACAACGTACATGCTTATATATCAATACTAGACTACCAGGGCATAGTGACCCCGTGGTATCTGTATACAACGTACGTGCTTATATATCAATACTAGACTACCAGGGCATAGTGACCCCGTGGTATCTGTATACAACGTACATGCTTATATATCACTACTAGACTACCAGGGCATAGTGACCCCGTGGTATCTGTATACAACGTACATGCTTATATATCACTACTAGACTACCAGGGCATAGTGACCCCATGGTATCTGTATACAACGTACATGCTTATATATCAATACTAGACTACCAGGGCATAGTGACCCCATGGTATCTGTATACAACGTACATGCTTATATATCAATACTAGACTACCAGGGCATAGTGACCCCATGGTATCTGTATACAACGTACATGCTTATATATCAATACTAGACTACCAGGGCATAGTGACCCCGTGGTATCTGTATACAACGTACATGCTTATATATCAATACTAGACTACCAGGGCATAGTGACCCCGTGGTATCTGTATACAACGTACATGCTTATATATCAATACTAGACTACCAGGGCATAGTGACCCCGTGGTATCTGTTTACAGCATACGTGCTTACATATCACTACTAGACTACCAGGGCATAGTGACCCCGTGGTATCTGTATACAGCATACGTGCTTACATATCATTACAGGGCCATCAGTTGGGACAAGAAGTGGACGTTCTTCGTCTTTGCACAACAATGGCCTCCCTCTGTTTGCAATTCCGCATCACATTTGAAGGTAAGTTTTATGTAATTGTTTTTAAACATTGATTTGCGGGTGTCTCTAAGAACAGCTGGTATATTATATTTGATGTATGATATATGTGATAATAACAATAGCATCTCTTAAGTCTGATAAAATGTCTCACCAACTGTTCTGAAATATAGTGATGCCATTTTTTACAGACAACGGACGAAATGTTACACCAAATAAATCCCCCAGGACGGATCTACATACACATGCATATAATTGTCAGACTGTCGGCCGAACAAAGATTTATCAACACGTTTATAGATATATACACTTGTCCTTTACTTTACACTTTTAATAAATCTAAGTAGTTGCTTCCGTATAAGTACTTTTATATCACACGAAGGTCTGACTGTCTATTACTTTAAAGAATACAATCTGTGAAAGTGTCCTTGACTCCCTCTGCATTATTCAACAAAGTGTCTGCGGCGCCAATTATATGAATTTTTTCACATAATCAACCCAGTCATTATCTGTTAACTGATGTTTGATGCCTGAAACCTTCCAAATGATAAAGTTAATGAGGTCGATTATGATTGTCTCTTCTCTGACTTATTGCATCGCCTTGATGAGCAGTAAAATCAATGCTTGCCACGCCCTTATCACTGTCCCCCTACTGCTGCCCACTGTTACTCACCCGTCTCTTATCTTGACCCCCGTCCACCCTATCGTCCATCCTCTCTGTCTGTGCTTCTAGATCTGCTTTCCCGTGTAGCTTCATCTTTCCTAGTATCTCTCAACTCTAAGGGGTCATTCACAAGTTTCCCTCCTTTGTAGTAGAACCGTGTGTGTGGGTCGTCTATTCTGCATAAACTAATTCCTGTCTCTGATCGATAGTCAAGTCATTAGAAGTGCCATACCCTTCACCTTTAAGGACACGACTCATTGACGCAGCTTGCATGTTGCCGTCTTAGTTAGAGCCTTAACAATAAGAGGTGGGGGGTTATTGGGGCCCTCTTTCGAAATATAGCATGCGCGCTCTTTATCTCTGGAATTGAGTCGACATTTCTTAGCTACCCCTCTTACCGTTCAGTAGGTCCACTACTTCCAGTATAGATTGTTTATTCAAGAATTGCCACTTTTCAGCACAAGTGTAAAGCCGTTCCCAACCAAGTGAAAACCTGGACTGTTCACGGCCTGTGGTAAGTCATTGAACCCCACCTCCCCTAAGAACATTACAGCCTGATTTGTTGAACATTATATATTGTTGAAAAATGGTGTCAACACAATTCATTTTTTAATTATTTAAAACAATTACATAAAATCAAATTCAGGATGGTAAACACGTGTGTTTGAGAGGTGGTGGCATAGCCTGGCGCCCCGCGGCATGAAATGGCTGCTAACAACCGTATACAACCGTGTACAACTTTCACCATATAGATGCTGGTAGTGATGTTGCCAAACGCAGGATAAAGTCACATAGTGGCTTACTTTCAATTGTCATATGCTCTCACATCATCATAACAAGTTATGTTAGTCTCTAGGGGCAGTGGGGGTAGCCTAGTGGTTATAGTGTTCGCTCATCACGCCGAAGTTCCGGGTTTGATTCGATAGGTACAATGTGTGAAGCCCACTTCTAGTGATATTGCCGTGATATTGCTGGAATATGGCAAAGAAGGCGTAAAAGCCGTACTCGCTCTCTCACACACTCACCCTCTGTGTCTTTTCTCATTCATTATGGGGGCGGTGGGGTAGCCTAGTGGTTAAAGCGTTGGCTCGTCACGTCGAAGACCCGGGTTCTATTCCCCACATGGGTACAATGTGTGAAGCCTATTTTCCGGTGTCCCCCGCGGTGATATTGCTGGAATATTGCTAAAAGCGGCGTAAAACCACAGTCACTCATTCATTCATTATGGTTTCGGATGGTTCAGTAGTCTAGTGGTTAAAGCATTAGCTCAGGTTTGATTCCCCAAACGGGTACAAACTGTGAAGCCTATATCTGGTGTCTTTCCGTGATATTCAGTTGATGGAAGCTTTGTAAAATACTACTCGCTCACTAATTATGATTTTAAAATTTGTAAAGGAAGAAATATTGATACATGTGTTTGAATGCAGCTAAAGAGAATTACAACAGTATTTTGCCTCCCGGATGAGAGTGTTCGATAACACTACCAAATTCTATCACACGTGCAATTATTTATAAACTTGTGATGATCATATGGCGATTGTAATATAATATATAATCCCAATAAAAGTTTCTTTCTTCTCCTCCTGTAGGCCCAACCTTGGTAAAAAGAGCATCGAAAACTGCAACCACAAATGGCATTTTAACTGGGACCAGATCCAGGTAGGCACGAATAAGATTTTTATCCAGCGTGGTACTTTTGAAAACCCTGAGTAGATACAATCTCGTATGTCCAGTGAATTTGATGTGTTTTCGGGAAAATGAAAATGACTCCTGTTTCAGTTTCACTTCTATTTCAGTCTCTCGAAAAACAACTGAATGCAAGCTGGCCCAATCTTTTCATCGACACGGACCACACGGGGCTTTGGTAGGTGACACATGCCTTTATACCTCATTAGTTCCAAAAGGTCCAGCCGAACAGGTGGCCCAAGAATCCACTGACCGCGGGAGCGAAGCCTTGTCTGTACTCTTGGCTTTCACCAAGTAGTAGAAGGATTCAGCATTTTTAAAAGGGAGGGGTCAAGAATATCAAAATCCTCCCTCGGTTAATTTTACTGTCTTGTCCATCTGCGTATATGACACTACGCACGACACTGGACCCCAACAGTCATGCGCTAAACTGGGAATGTGATATTTCGAGGTATCTGGATTAACGGGTTTGGCTGAACATCTAATGTTTGTCGTAGGGTCACGAGGTCATTGGTGGCACGTGACCCTATGCATAACGCACAGGTTGTATACGTCCAGGTAGCCGAGATTGTAATTGAGTGCACACCGATCCAGTGGCCATCATGCTTAAGAGCACAGATACGACAAAATATTACTGTGTTTATTTCCCGTTTTGGCCGACCTATTGTACTGGGTAACATGTAACTAAAAGCACGGCGACCATTTGCCCACAAGTACGCCCACACTAGGCACAGGCACCACTGATATTGTCTCTACATTCAGGAAGCATGAATGGACAACCCACGGCACCTGCGCTGCAACCCTAAAAGCCACGGACAACCAGTTGCGCTACTTTCAAAAGGCCCTAAGTCTCAACAGTATTGCCGCATTTAATCCACAAAAGTAAGTCGTTTGCTTTAAACACGGTTCGTAATTGTTTTCCCCACCGAGACACTAAGTGTAAGATGTGATTTTGCAAACACCGTTCACTCACTCCCTTGATCAACCTCTTGACGCGAGTAGTAGCTTGATCGATATCGGCGTTTCCGTCCAAACGTTCGTACCTACCCAAAAAGAATTTGCCAATACGAATATGGCTGAAATATTTCCAACGTTGAATTAAAAATATAAAAATAGTTAATAATAAAAGAAATATGTGTCATGGATGATTGATCTACTAGAGTTTGAATTCATTGAGTAGTGCTCATGGTAAAGCAAGATGGGTGCTTCGATCCCCGGCCGCGTCATTCCAAACGACGTTAAATGATGGTTCTTGTTGCTACTCAGCCCGGCGCGAGGCAGGAAGAGGCTAAAACACAAGGACTGATCGACCGGAAGTCATTTCACCGCGTGTGAGTGTGGGATATCTGGATTTCCCTGTTAAACTGCGGCATGGTATCTCAGTGGACTAGCACTATTAGTCCAGGCTAGTATGAGCAACCCCCGCCCCCCACCACCACCACCAACCCACCCCCTTCCACACACACATGCCTGCACGTCGCTTTGTAAATGCAACAATCCTTAACGCGACGTCAATTCCCAGCTTAACTTCACCTCACCACGTGTGTGTACGGATTTGTTTTTTTATCATGACAGGGCGCTTGAGAAGGCTGGCATCACTCCATCATGTTCGAAGGCATATTCCGTGAGTAAATGTTTTATAATTTAGGCGATCTGTTCCTAAACGTTTTCCCACTAACTCCAAACAGGTCTCTACTGTCCTCCGATAGGCTCAATCTGTGTCAACCTTATTTCTGGCCCAACTTGTGAGTCTCAGTTCCCTTTCACGGCTACATGTGTCTCACACTGATCAAGTGTGTTCATCTTTCTCAACCGTGTGCTTCATTTAGACAGATATGCTCATAGTATAGTCGTAATCGTACAATCGACTTATGAATATGGAATGGGTTTTATCGCTTTTGTTCAGTATCATATTTCGCCATCTTGTGATTATTTCTGACCACAGGTGTTTATAATTTTTTGCAATGTGTTTTCACCAGTCGTCCATGTGCTTCATTTAGATATGCATGTTTATTAATGTCGTCCCTGTGCTTCCTTTGGGCATGCGTGTTTATCAGTCTCGTTCCTCTGCTTCACTTGGACATGCGTGATATCAGTCTCGTCCCTCTACTTCATTTAGGGACCATTGAAGATCCGGGGTAGAATAGGTCTTCAGCAACCCATGCCCGCCGTAAAAGGCGACTATGCTTGTGGTAAGAGGCGACTTACGGCATCGGGTGGTCAGGCTCGCTGACTTGATTGATGCATGTCATCGTATCCCAATTGCGTGGATCGTTGCTCATGATGTCAATCACTGGATTGTCTGGTACAGACTCGATTATTTACAGACTGCCGTCATAAAGCTGGAATATTGCTGAGTGCGGCATTAAACAAACAAACAAAACTTCATTTAGGCATGTGTGTTTATCAATCTCACCCCTGTGCTTCATTTGGGCATGCGTGTTCATAAATCTCGTTTCTATGGTTCATTTGAACTGTGTTTTTATCAGTCTCGTCCCTGTGGTTCATTTAGACATACGTGTTAATGAGTGTTATCCCAGTAGTTCATTCTACATGCGTGTTTATCAATCCCGTATCTGTGCTTTATTTGAACATGCGTGTTTATTCATCCAGCATTGTGTCTTTTTCATATTTCTCCATCCTGCGTCGTTTTCATTCTAGACCATGTGTCTTTTCCATTCTAGACCATGTGTCTCTATCAATCCCCATCCTTGGTTTCACGCGGATAGTGAGTGTTCACTCATCTTGACTGGGTGGTTTATTCACGACCATGTGTTTTACGCATGCCCGGACTCTCCTTGTGGTATATACGGTATACAGTAAAGTACGGTTATAACGAACTCAAAGGGACTACTTATTTTAGTTCGTTATAACCGTAGTTCGTTATAAGCATATAAACAGCATGACTACAGCAAATAGTCGGGACCAAAAAAGTAAGTTCGTTATATCCGTCAGTTCGTTATAAGCGTGTTCGTTATAACCGTAGTTTACTGTATTTAGATCAACATATAACATGACGGATTTCTGTTTCTAGAGCCAGGGGCACGTTTGTATAGTCTGTTAACAGGATTACAAAGTGACGATGTTCTTAACAGCAAGATTTACTTTACAGATTTATGCCATCCAAGCAGCTGTTAAGAAGTATTTCAAGATAAACACCTCCATGACCATAGCGTGTACAAGACAGAGACATACGGTAACAGCCCCAGTCAGGGTATAATTGATGTTAAACGTTAGGTAGCTAAATCACAGCGACATGTGAAAAGACTGAACCTGGAGCACACAAACAAATGGTCGGTAATGGGACAACATCATGGTCGTATTTCTATGACTCAACACAATCAACCATGTCCAATGCTACACATATTTAGTATTCAGTGATGCAATATTCATACGCGACATAGTGGTCACGCAAGTAAATATTAAACGTCAAAGCCTGAGAATAACCAGTCTCGATTATCAGCCGAAACAAATTCCATTGGACGTAAAAGGCAACAATCCGATCATTGGCCGCCAGAGCACTGCACAAAAGAATTGTTCTCAAGAACGATTTAAGATTTAGGAAATAAGCATACACTTTAGAAATCGTTATGGAGTAAGTAAGTAGCACTATTCATGCAATGTCACGTTATGGAAATATTCAGACTTGAATATGTTTCTACAGGTGTACTAAATCCCCGAAGCTCAGAAGCATTCATCAATTATGCAGAGTAAAGTACAATGTTTGGACCGAGACAATAAAACTACACCCCCAATACTATGTTGCTGAACGAACATTTTTCTTAAATGGCTCTCTTGGTAGCGCTTGTTCGCAGCACTGGTGATTCAAAATGAATATATCCTTTTTGGTTTCGACAGTGTTAGTGCGTTGGACATAAACAAACATTTACTCTTTTATGCAAATTGTGTGAGTGTCGGCTGCTACCGGTAAGGGCAAAACAAGCTTACCCTTTTCGCGAACACCCTGTCATAACTGAGTTTCAGTGTATCATTCAAATCACTATTTTGCCCTTTCGGCTCTATAAAATCTGTATCGGCAGATAACCGAGTCTGTCTCTGTTTCAAATATTTTTACCCATGCTGATTAAACAAGACAAACATTTAGTGAGGGTGCACGATGGATCACGGACTTTCTCATAGTTAGAGACCGCCTCCATGGTCTAGTGGTAGTGCGTCCGTCCGCGTCATCCCGAAAAGATGTTAAAAGGTGGTACTTGTTGTTACTCTGTCTTGCGCTCGGCATTTAGGGTCTAAAACAAGGACCAGTCGCACGTCGCTATATAAGTGCAATAATCTTGAACGCGACGTTGAACCACATTTCACCTCACCTCACACAGTAAGATGCTCTCTCGAAATTCGAAGCATCTGTCTGCGCCACTACTTTTAGCCATACTTATGTATTTTCCCATGTCAGAGAAGACAACTTTTCTATATAAAATACAAAGTCTCCTATAGTTACAATAAGTATTCTTAAATTCCTTGTGGGATAAAATTCTTTCGCGTTTCCAAGGTATTCTCAAAATATTTATCGTTTCTATATTTTCTACAGGGTCGCACGTTGTTGATGGAGATTCACATTGCATTGTTGAAGACTTTCAACGTGACTGCAATGCCCAAGGATGAAATACTATTCTGCAAACCTGCCGACAAAATTTTCATCTTCCCAGTCCACAATATCGATTGTTTCTAATAGAGATTCAATAGAGTGCTTACAGCAGGAAATGCCTCCTCTTTTAGCAAACACCTGCTGTCATCACTGATTTTCAGTGATCCATTCAGTTTGCACCACAATTTTGCTTTTTACGCCCTGTCTTTTTTACCTCAGTGTATATTATATGTATTCCTGCATCTGAAGCTTAATAGTACATACGTGTGGTAACACAATTGTGTTAATTTGTATCGTATAATTTTTATATTTACATATTCTGAAGTAAACCCATAGGAGGAATGTGTGTTGTATACAGTACACTTTGTAATCATATCAGTGATGATGCGTATACATGTCCAACTTGTGACAATCACTTTTTTTTTTGATTTACCTTATAAAAGGCGCTCCATAACACTTTGTTATGTAACCTGTATCGTCCTGTTTCTAATGAGCCGGCGGCCTCTTTACCGAATAAAGAATTCTTAAAATTAGCGAGTGAGTGGTATTTGTTCAACGCGACGGTCAGTGTATTTCCTGTATCACGGCAGCCTGAAATTAGACGAGTATGACCGGACAAACCAGTGATTGAAAACATGAGCAACGACTCACGTCATCAGAGCGAGATAGAGCGCAATCAGCAAGGTCCGCGCCTAAAACCACGGGAAGAAAGTACAAGGCAAAATATGGATTTTTGTCAGTTATGCGTCAAGGTTGGAAATATCATCCACATGTCTACCGTTAATAGTTTTGAAAGCTTAACTAAGGAATTGAACGCTGATCAAACCAAAACTTTTGAGCAAGAAAATGACGCTCTTGGAAATCTTCTTGGAAAGAGCTATTCCCGATTACGATGGAACTGCTGGAGGTGTGATTAAATGGGGTTTAACGTTGAGTCCAAGATTATTGCACTTATGTAGCAACGTGCATGCACGTGTTTGTATGTGGCTGTTTGTACTAGTCCGGACTGATGCCAATTTATAGTGCTAGCCCACTGAGATACCATGTGACAGTTTCACATGAATACCCCACTCAGACAGAGTATACTGAATCCGAACCGACCAGTCCTTGTTTTAGCCCCGTAATGCCGAGCGCCAGAGTGGGTAACAACCATCTACCATCTTTTAACGTCTTTAGTATGACGCGGTCGGGGATCGAACCCCGGACCTTCCGCTCTCCGGGGGTCTGGAACTGCTGGAGGATTGCTCGACATAAAGAGAAGGTGGACTTTTGGAAAGTTGACGTCATCCATCCTCTCACACAGTCACGGGGATGGCATTTCCCCCCTCTGAATTGTTATGAACAGATCTAAGTATGAAACAGATGGGTCGGTTTCAGTTGTCTCTCTTATTTCTAGTTCAGGTGGGTAAATCAGTGAAACGTAATTTGGACCATTATTGAAGGATATCAGATGATCGATGATTGATGTACCTGAAGCTTTAGTTAAACTTCTCGGCCGATTTCCCGCATTTTGATTCTGCCAATCCGACCAGAAATTCCGATTCATATACACAAAGAAAACACCAGCAAGGAGGGATGCACAATTAGTGTCCATGAGGATGCCAACCGCTGAATGTCCTTTATGTCCCCAGTCCAACAGTTCACCCATTGCTTTTTCAGTACACTTCAGAGTACATTTGCTTTCATTCTATATTGAATCAGTATGATCCAAGGGAAACAACCCTCTTTGGCCCAGAATGGAAATGTTGGTATACCACGCAGTGCTTGTGGTTTCTATTATAAGGGTAACGCTCTTTTTCAGGGCATTATCATTTGCAGAAGCCCGAGGTTTTCCATGAAAAGACCGAGGGCTTCTGCAAATGATAATGCCCTGAAAAAGAGCGTTACCGTTATTATAGCTAAAATGGATGGAATTTGTTATCAAATAAAAAGAAACAACAACATCGGTTTTGAAACATTCACTGCAATCAACACGAATGTCACTGATCACATTTTACAAATATGGAAACGTCATAGAACAAACTAGATGACGTCACTATAATACGTGACGTCATTCTCTCTACCCTATGACGTCACCTAACAACGGGCCGTCGTCAAGCAATATGAGGGCATTATCCACTCTCCTACCCAGAGTTCCATGCGGCCGGCAGCCAGCTAGCATAGTACCTCTGCCACAGGCCAGCGCCATGTGACGATTCGTCACATCTTTCACAGTCCATTCAAGATATTGCATATGCTTTTCATCCGTTTCATGTTTGACAAGTCTACATTATTTTCATAAACAAATGTCAAAGAATGGTTAACTTTCATTGAGAAAGTATGCAAATACGTAAAAATCTACTTGTTTTTGCGTAGTTATCCTATGTTTACATTGGTTGTACGGCTCCACGTGCTGTCATCGAAGCCCAACCGAGAGCTAGCGACACGGTCACTTTGATGCATAAATATATATTGTCATGCAACTCACTGTCGCAGTTGTAGTAGCATATCTATATAGTTATGCAAAAGCGCCCCCAAATACTTGCATTAGTCCGTTCTATACTGATTTCTGAAAAAGCGCGTTTGTTTACAAACAAGAGAAAAGTCCGGTCACGTGATATGCAAATTAGCCTGTGGCAGTGGTGTTATGCTGAGTCACTACTGCGACGGAGTTTGGGCATTATCAAGTAACAGTGGCCCGCTCATTTCTGATAACGTGCGGGCGGTCTAATGATAATTCTATCCATTTTAGCTATAATGTGTGTTTACCTTGGGAGATATCCCTTCCTATCAATAGGCTTCACAATTTGCACACATGTGGGGAATCGTACACGGGTCTTCGACGAACGTTTTAACCACTACCCCACCACCCCACACTTACATTATGGCTCCATTACTATAAGGGTAACGCTATTTTTCAGGGCATTATCATTTGCAGAAGCCCGAGGTCTTCCATTAACTGCCCGACGAAGGAGGGCAGTTGAAAAGACTGAGGGCTTCTGCAAATGATAATGCCCTGAAAAATAGCGTTACCGTTATTATAGCTAAAATGAATGGAATTTGTTATCAAATAAAAAGAAACAACAATGTCGATTTTGAAACATTTACTGCAATCAACATGAATGTCACTGACCCACTTTTACAAATATGGAAACGTCATAGAACAAACCAGATGACGTCACTATTGAACGTTACGTCACCTATCCCCATCCTATGACGTCACCTAACAACAGGCGTGATAATGGCCCGTCGTCAAGTAATAGGAGGGCATTATCAAGTTACAGTGGCCCACTCATTTCTGATAACATGCGGGCGTTTTTATGATAAATCTATCCATTTTAGCTATAATCAATGATAATATCATTAAGTAATGGCGCCTTAATGTAAGTGCTGAAGACCCGGGTTCGATTCCCAACATGGGTACAACGTGTGAAGCCCATTTCTGGTGTCTCCTGCCGTGATATTGCTGGAATATTGCTAAAAGCGGCGTAAAATCAAACTCACTCACTCATTCACGAATGAAGGTTTTGATATAACCAGGTTCATCTATACACCTGGAAAAAGTTTAAGCACCACTAATGTATTTTCATATGTTCAAAACTATATTTTGGAAATATGTACGTCTACCATGACCTTATTTTTGTAACTGTCTGATGAAAAGGTTTGTATAAGGACACCCCATGTTCCTTATGCCGCAAGAACCTGGTCACACCATATCATGCGAAGAGTGAGTGAGTGAGTTTGGTTTTACGCGGCTTTTAGCAATATTTCAGCAAAATCACAGCGGGAGACACCAGAAATGGGTTTCACATGTGTACCTACGTCGGAAATCGAACCCGGGTCTTCGGTGTGATGAGCGAATGCTTTAACCACTAGGCTACCAAACCGCTCCACTATGATACGAAGAAACAGGAAACAGTTTAACGGGTAATGAAATCACTGTTGCCATGAAACAGTTACAAACTGTGTCATAACATTAACGATTTCGGTTTCGGTGTTTCAATATGAGAATGTCACTTTGGAAACCAAGACAAGTATGTTTCATCAGAACATAAATACAGGATAATACATTTAAACAAATACCTTTTATATGGAATATAAAGTAAGAGGTGTTTACCGGCTTTTCTGGTTGTATATGTTGCTTCTGGAACATCTTTTGTTAGCAGGTTGAGTCGTATCATGATGGGGCCTTCGGGTAGCCTGGTGGTTAAAGACCCAGGTTCGAATCCCGACATGGGTACAATGTGTGAAGCCCATTTCTGGTGTCCCCCGCCGTGATATTGCTAGAATATTGCTAAAAGCGGCGTTAAACCATACTCGCTCACTCACGTATCTTGATGAGGTACGGTGGGGTAGCCTTGTGGTTGAAGCGTTCGCTCATCACGCTGAGGACCCGAGTTCGATTTCCCCTTTGGATACAAAGTGTGAATTTCATTTCTTGTGTCACCAATATTGCTGTTGTTGGAATATTGTTAAAATTGGCGCAAAACTGAACTCACTGACGTATGGTTATGATATGTAAAGAAACGCCACGACTGAAGAGCTAACAGTACGTATTCAGTAAGTAAGTACACGACCGTAACCTGCCAGTTGCGTACAAATATCAAAGTGGGCCGAATATCAGTTACGGATAAATCTTACACATAGTTGCTGGCGACAAAAAAACATTTCTGAGTTGATAGTCGTCGCAAGGAAATTGATTACTTCATATGAGGAAAAGTAGTAACGGAAATAGATACTAAAAATGCAGATGTCCAGAAAGTGTTGCCCTGACTGGAGTGACAGCTGCCTGGCTGCACATCTCTGGAACCCGTCAAGCAGTAAGGTAGGCCTGGGTGAAGCAGCTCTGTCTTAAAGATCTGGGTAACGCCGGGCTTGTGGCGTGGTATGGGAATTATTGTAATAGTCATTGAAATACTGCATTTAGCTTTGTTTTAAACATTAGGACAACTTTGCTCGTGACACGGGAACACGGGGAAGTAAATCGTCTATTATTTTTCCTTGTTTGTCGAAATGCGATAACAAGCGTTTTTCGGCGCCATTGAGAAATTGAATTGAATTTGTGACCACGTGTACTTGACCTCAGCTCCTCCTTACATCTGACAGTGTGCGAGCTCAGCCAATGTTACCGCTTAGACATGATAACCAAGCCTCGCTTTCACACAGGTTATAAATAGATTCAATGCTAAAAGCCCCATAGTGACGTCACAACGTTAATCCCTGTCACAGGAATGAGTGAGTGAGTTGGGTTTAACGCCGCTTTTAACAGTATTCCAGTCATATCACGGCGTGTCAGCTTAATGTGGGAGGAAAGCCCGAAGTGATGCAGGTCTCAGACGTTTACCACTTCGGTGAAACCCACGAGCACGGGTATGGTGCTGACAAACCTAGAAACATAATCGGGGCGAACCGGGATTCGAACCCACAATCATAGGTTTCTGGCGTGCCCAAGGGACCCCTGTCACAGGAAGTGAAAAATCCTGGGCTCTAGCCCTACCTCATATAAACCTTTCATTACAAATCCTATATGAACATGTTATGTTTTCAAATATTTCCAATGTCCACATACAGTAAACTACGGTTATAACGAACTCAAAGGAACCACTAGTTTTAGTTAGTTATAACCGTAGTTCGTTATAAGCATATATAAAGAATATATGCAGCAAGCATACGGCAACACATTTCGTTATATCCGCCAGTTCGTTATAAGCGTACTGTGTGTCAATTTATCAAAATAAAACGAAAATATAACCCATCCATGCACTGTAGAGGTTGTGAGAACATGTTCAAGTCACGTGACCCCAAAATATTCTCTCACAGGGTAGAAGTAATTCACAAAAATATGGGTTCCATTTTTCTTAAAAAGAAATATATACTGTAGCAGAATACAACTGTTACTGTTGTGGATTATTCCTTTTGGATTAAACCTTGACTATTGCATTTGTATGTTCAATCATGGCTTAATTGTGTGTTTCAACTGTTACTTTCTTGGAACTCGGAATACCAGTGTTTTACTCCCTATTTAGCATGATGGAACTTCCAACTGGCACTACTGGGGATTTGTCAAGAAAGGCATGAACATATTGGACATAAGGACAACTTTGCTCGCTATACGGGAACGCGAGGAAGTAAATCGTCTATTTTTATGTCACATCGACAGTTCCATGTTTGTCGAAATGCTATAACAAGCGGTTTTCGGCGCCATTGGGAAATAGGAGTTGAATTTGTCACCAAGTGAACTTGAGCCCCGCTCCTCCTTACAAAGTCAGTGTTCTCCAGCAGCGAAGTTTCATGCATACACTGTTCGTTGTCTGTATCCTTGTAAGTATGGACGTCTACACTCAAACAACATTCGCTTCAATTGATAATGTATACATCGGTTGGTGAAACGGTCGGAAAATTATTCGTTGTTAATTGCTCCGTTAGTTTTGCACCACTTCCCTATATTTGATCCCTATTTGTTTCATACAGACATACGACCCGTAAAGATCCGGTGTAGAATAGGTCTTTAGCAACCAATGCTTGCTGTAAAAGGCAACTATGCTTGTCGTAAGAGGCGACTAACGGCATCGGGTTGACGGTCAGGCTTGCTGACTTATTTGATGCATGTCATATTATCCCATTTGCGTAGATCGATGCTCACGACGTCAATCTTTGGATTGTCTGATCCAGACTCGATTATTTACAGACCGCCGTCATATAGCCGGAATATTGCTGAGTGCTGAGTTGAACAACAAACAAACATCATACAGATATACAATTCTTTTAGCTGAAGTGTTTTTCGGTCCTATTCTTATTTAAAGGACGTCTAATGAACAATTATCTGATTTGAAACCCGAGGCCAGATTATGTTTTTTCCATTTTTTATTCTGCAATACGTTATATTTCCCCACACGCGGCTTTTGCTATGTGTTTAATGTTATGGCAGTTCAGTAGCATGTGAATAAACCAGGTGCACGACCACTTTGTCATATTATTTGACTGGTCCAGGGCATAGTGCGTCTGCCCGGAGAGCGGAAGTCGGTGGTTCGATCCCCGGCCGCATCATACCCAAAAGACGTTAATAGATGGTCATTAACTGTTGTTATCATGTTATATTACTTGAGTCTTCGCTCCGATTATGGCCATTGGTCTCTCAAGATCCTATCGGCTCTCTTACGTTTGCCCCGTGGGGTTTATGGGTTAGAAGCGGGAGCGGAAGTCAGTGGTTTGATCCCCGGCCGCGCCATACCAAAAGACGTTAATAGATGGTCATTAACTGTTGTTATCATGTTATATTACTTGAGTCTTCGCTCCGATTATGGCCATTGGTCTCTCAAGATCCTATCGGCTCTCTTACGTTTGCCCCGTGGGGTTTATGGGTTAGAAGCGGGAGCGGAAGTCGGTGGTTTGATCCCCGGCCGCGCCATACCAAAAGACGTTAATAGATGGTCATTAACTGTTGTTATCATGTTATATTACTTGAGTCTTCGCTCCGATTATGGCCATTGGTCTCTCAAGATCCTATCGGCTCTCTTACGTTTGCCCCGTGGGGTTTATAGGTTAGAAGCGGGAGCGGAAGTCAGTGGTTTGATCCCCGGCCGCGCCATACCAAAAGACGTTAATAGATGGTCATTAACTGTTGTTATCATGTTATATTACTTGTGTCTTCGCTCCGATTATGGCCATTGGTCTCTCAAGATCCTATCGGCTCTCTTACGTTTGCCCCGTGGGGTTTATGGGTTAGAAGCGGGAGCGGAAGTCGGTGGTTTGATCCCCGGCCGCGCCATACCAAAAGACGTTAAAAGACGGTCATTAACTGTTGTTATCATGTTATATTACTTGAGTCTTCGCTCCGATTATGGCCATTGGTCTCTCAAGATCCTATCGGCTCTCTTACGTTTGCCCCGTGGGGTTTATGGGTTAGAAGCGGGAGCGGAAGTCAGTGGTTTGATCCCCGGCCGCGCCATACCAAAAGACGTTAATAGATGGTCATTAACTGTTGTTATCATGTTATATTACTTGGGTCTTCGCTCCGATTATGGCCATTGGTCTCTCAAGATCCTATCGGCTCTCTTACGTTTGCCCCGTGGGGTTTATGGGTTAGTACTGGTCCCTGTAAGAGGCGACTTAATGGATGGGGTGGTCAGACTTGGTTAAAAGCGCGTCATCATACCAGGCAGCGTGGATCATTGTTCATAATATCAATCACTGGAATGTTTATCAGGACACGATTATTTACAGGCCATCACTTCCATGAATATGACCCGTCGAATGACGTCTAGTAAATTAGAAATGTAATTCGTATTTGTTGTTTCACTAGTGAAAATATCATTGTTATTTCCCTCAGTGCTTCACTACCAATGAAGGAATGAAACTGTCTCTTGTGAACTCTTTTTCTCATAATATGCGCCTTCTTAATATTAACTGAAGAAATCACGCCATCTAATCCAAACACGAAGAAGGGTTATAAACAGTCTTCCTATGTTTCATATTATACTCTATTTCGAAATATTGTTATTTCGAAGTTTCTGTCTGAAGTTCAGTCGGCATATGTGTGTTTCTATAACTGAAATACTGTTTAGAGTGACGTTAAACAACTCACTCACTCATTCTTTACTGCGATACTGGGATAATGAGTGGACAGAAATTGGGAACATGTTAAAATCTGTCAGTGATATGAACCTTATGCGTGTGTGTCACAAGTTTATCTTGATAAAATGGCAAGGAAAAAGCCGACCAAGGATATTGAATTTATCGAATTTGCTCTTTATAGATAAAATACGAGAACAACCCCGTAACATGGTGTCTTACTCTTGATCAAAATTACATCGATCAGTTAACACGTGTTAATACTCGTGTTTAAGTCACCTGATAAGGAAGGAAACCTGCTCTTCCCGCGAGAATCATTGTGAAAGTTCATTAGTCACTCACTCAGGTTACAACAAATCTTGTCGGATGATCGGATAATCAAGACTGGTTATTCTCTTGCATTGACATTTTATATTTACATCTGTGTCAACTTGAATGGGTGAGTAGGGCATTTAACAATAATCCAGGCATAGAACGGCTTGGGGAACTCCAGCGTCCTTTTTGTCAACTTGAAATGAATCTGAAAGTGCTCGAGTACATTGTTATATCGAACTATTTTCATAGCACAAGTCTCCAAGTCACATTCACTCTACCCCTAGACACTTAATTAAAAGTTGAGTGGTATTTATATCACAAAATGTTATGTGATGCATGTTTTATGGCAAACTTTCATTTTCAGTTGAGAGCTCCGTCGCTAAACGCTGTACAAAATGGCGGTACGGGGAATTGTCATCGTACTGTCGCTTTCCTTGATAAACATGTGAGTGTTTTTAATTATTGTTAATGACTGATAGTATCGAAAAGCTGTCACCCATGAATTTAAAAAATAAAGTGGAGAGTGATTTGAACGTTTTTTCAGTTATGTCAGCTTAATGTTAGAGGAAAACCCGAAGGGACGCAGGTCTTCGATGTCTCCCAGATGTTTAGTGAAACCCATATATAGAAATCTCCGGAATTAGAACCAACGATCATAAGTGTCTGTCACGCCTAAGGGACGAACATCTGAATCCCCCAGACGGCTGGGCCACTAGGGTTCCGTAGTAAACAAAACGACACTTGAGTAACCAAATGCTGATAAACATTTCTGTCCTCACCATGAAACTAAAGTAGTTTGTCTTAAAATCCACCGGATTAAAATATACACCTGGGATAATATTTAGCACCGCTTATCGAATATTTCCATATTAAAGTAGACAGTTATAAAAATCGTATCCTGTATTAATTTACTGATAAGTGTTTATTTTCCCAAAGTGACATACAAAGTGAAACCGAAATCGATTTTCTAATGACATGTTTTGCAATTTGTCAAATAGTTACTTGGCTACAGGGAGAATTTCTTTCTAGGCGTCTTTGCACTGTATGATATGAGCCAGGACGTGTGTCTATTCAAAAGAACATGTGGGGGGGCAGACATTTCCCCACATGGACATTTCCTCACAAGGACAATAATCTTGTGGCGAAATGTCAGTGTGGGGAATTGTCCATGTGGGGAAATGTCCTATACTGGGTCTTTCTTCACCAACTTTTCATCAGGTGGAATCTGAGACATTATCCAAAATGAGGTCAGTGTCATACGTAGATGTTTCCACAAGCTACACGGAAGTTCATGCTTATGAAAATAAAGTAGGCATAGTGTTTATCTTTTCTGCAGCTGTAAATTAACTGTAAACCTATGCAGTACCCAGTTCGTTTCACAAGGACAAGGAGTAATAAATACGTTTTTTTGTCCACGAGATATATTTTAATTAAGTCATAGGGAATACCTAATTTTGAAAGTTATCAGATATGTTCATATACATGAGAATTAAATTTTGTTCACTGAAACAAATGCATGGTTGGGACCTAAAACAACAGTACATACATAGATCAGGCTGAATGTGTGAAAGAGGCTGATTTAAGAGGTTTAACGCTTCTTTTATATTTGAAAAAGGGCAAGTCTTTGACCTTGGTTGATATTCTTAGGAGACTTAAATAAAAACATTACAAACATGTGGTGAATAGGTCTTTGAAAGGCATTTAGATGTGATACACACGAGGAACAGAATATATGGATGTCATATAATCTCGTCCTTATGTGGTGAAAACTTCATCTCGGATCACGGACATGTTCATACTTAGATTTAAGATTTGACATTTCAGTCCACTTGCAGGGATGTATGGCTACAATATATACCATTACTATACTACCAGGGCATCGCGACCCCATGACATGTGCATGCTTACATATCATTATTCTATAACCAGGCCATAGCAACCCCAGAATATGTGCATACAACGTACGTACTTAAATATAATTACTAGACTACCACGGTATCTGTGTACAACCTACGTACTTAAATATCATTACTAGACCACCATGGTATCTGCGTACAACCTACGTACTTAAATATCATTACTAGACCACCATGGTATCTGCGTACAACGTACGTACTTAAATATCATTACTAGACCACCATGGTATCTGCGTACAACGTACGTACTTAAATATCATTACTAGACCACCATGGTATCTGCGTACAACGTACGTACTTAAATATCATTACTAGACTACCATGGTATCTGTGTACAACCTACGTACTTAAATATCATTACTAGACTACCATGGTATCTGCGTACAACGTACGTACTTAAATATCATTACTAGACTACCATGGTATCTGTGTACAACCTACGTACTTAAATATCATTACTAGACTACCATGGTATCTGTGTACAACCTACGTACTTAAATATCATTACCAGACTACCATGGTATCTGTGTACAACCTACGTACTTAAATATCATTACTAGACTACCATTGTAACTGTGTACAACCTACGTACTTAAATATCATTACTAGACTACCATGGTATCTGCGTACAACCTACGTACTTAAATATCATTACTAGACTACCATGGTATCTGCGTACAACCTACGTACTTAAATATTATACTAGACTACCATGGTATCTGTGTACAACCTACGTACTTAAATATCATTACTAGATTACCATGGTATTTGTATACAACGTACATACTTGTATATCACTACTCGACTACAAGGGTATGTGTATGCAATATACATGCTTATATATCACTACCAGACTACCATGATATCTGTACACAACGCACATGTCATTACAGGGCAATCAGCCGGGACAAGAAGTGGAATCTGTTCGTCTTTGCACAACAATGGCCCCCGACTGCATGTCTTAAATCATCATTAAAGGTATGTTTCGTGTTATTGTTTTGAAACATTTATTTTGAATGTATGAAGTCCCAAGAGGAACAGTTTGTATGATGAAGGAGGCTGTTTGAGTAGATGGATGAATTTTAAACTGTCGGGATAGTGTAATACAGGTGCGTGAGTAAACTGGGTTAACGTCGCTTTCAACAGTATTCCAGTTATATCACGGCGTTTCAGCTTAGTGTAGGATGAAGGCCCGAAGTAATGCAGTTCTCAGACGTTTACCTCTTTGTAGAACCCCACGAGCACGGCTATGGTGCTGACAAACCAAGAAACATAATCGGGGCGAACTGGGATTGGGACCCATCGTAGGTTTCTGGCGTGCCTTAGGGACGCAACTCTGCTCAACGAATTGCGGTGCCTTCGTCGAATGGGCCACCCGCATCCCCCTATTCATGTGGGCGAGGCTAAGTTCGTATGGCAGTCACATAAATTGTGCCACCCATACATCCTATAAAGTAATAGTTTGATGACAAATTGATGTTTTGCAGCAAAAGCCTTCATTGTTAGAAAATGCATGACAGCGGCGAACAAATATCAATAAATAGGCATGATTAGGTCGGGGAACTCACTTAGACAGGTTGATGATAGCGTTAAAGGAAACATCATATCCTTAAGCATGGACGCTGTTTTACCTACAGGAGATTAAATGATCGAACAGAGCGAAATCCGTTTAAAGCTGCAGGTGTAAGTCATCCTTATCGTAATGGTGCTCTACTGGAGTCAGCCACGTCGTCTTCAGCTTAATGCTGCGTTACTGGCGTCAGAACACGTCATCTTTAGCGTAATGCTGCGTTACTGGCGTCAGCCTCGTCGTCTGTAGCGTAATGCTGCGTTACTGGCGTCAGAACACGCCATCCTTAGAGTAGTGTGGCGTTTCTGGCGTCAGAACACGCCATCCTTAGCGTAATGCTGCATTACTGGCGTCGGAACACGTCACCCTTAGCGTATTGCTGCATTACTGGCGTCGGAACACGTCACCCTTAGCGTAATGCTGCATTACTGGCGTCGGAACACGTCACCCTTAGCGTATTGCTGCGTTACTGGCGCAGAACACGTTCAGTGACGAATCGAGATTCTCTCTCGATTTAGGCCGAAGTGAGCGATAATTGTCACAGCACGACCAGTATGGTCCAAATATGACAAATAATGACATTTAGTCCCAGGAATAAAGTTGTCTTATTTGAAAATATATATCCACAAAATATTTTCAAGCTTTTTGAATAAATATTATGCCAGAGTTCACATGACAAGGGATATCTAGGTACTTCCTTGACAAGTTTAGAATTCTAACCTCAACCCCAATGAACATCTGTGAAATGAACTTTGTTTGCGCCAACGACCTGTTTGGTCAACATTCAATGCCTCAGTAAAACTTTTAAAATGTTTTGTGAAAGACGTGTTTTTTTCAGGTGACTTTCCTTTGCATGAACCCATGCTTGCCGTAAAAGGTGACTATGCTTGTCGTAAAAGGCGACTAACGGGATCGGGTGGTCAGGCTGGCTGACTTGGTTGATGCATGTCATCGATCCCAATTGCGTGGATCGATGCTCATGATATTAATCACTGTATTGTCTGGTCCAGACTCGATTATTTACAGATCGCCGTCATATAGCTGGAATATTGCTGAGTGCGGCGTTAAATAACAAACAAACCAACTAACCAACCTTTGCATGTGTTTGTGACGGGTGCAACCGTGAAGCAGGATAGGCTCACCTCTTCGCGAACACCAGGTATCATCCCTAGTTGATAGTGATTCAAAAACTCATGCTCAAGTCGGAACCGTACAATCGATTCTATTTTTGGCAGGGATTTCTGATATATATATATTTCAATAACATTCACAATTAAACTCAAGGATCCATTTTATTTGGAAACCATGTCAACTAGTGCCAGATATCAAATGAAACGCAAACATTTGATTCATGACCTTGTGAGCCAGTACGTTTGAACATAGACGTTTTATTTTGCACATGAAAATCAATTCTCAAATTAACCAAGTATGCTTCGTTTAATTCATGATGGTTCAAGATGGTGGGACACAGTGGTGTGATCATTTACGACTGGAATAAGGTTCGATGCATCTGAACTATTAATATCCCTCGAATAGATTGTTTATTCAAGAATTACATTTTTCAGCTCGCTTGCCACGTTCCCAGGTTGTATTACCGTGTGTCTGGGTCATCTGTTCGACATTTAGTCATTCCCGTCCCTGATTGATAGTCAAGTCATTAGAAGTGCCATACCCTTCATCTTTAAGGACACGACTTATTGACGCAGCTTGTAACTTGTCGTCTTAGTGTCGACTCTTAACAGTAATAGGACGGTGTTTATATGCGTTCGCCATGGTACTATTGATTGCACGCTCTAAAGCTCTGGAATCGAGAGGGGGTATTTCGTATCTACCTCCCTTGCACTGTTCAGGACTTCCACTATCCACTATTATAGATTGTTCATTCAAGAATTACATTTTTCAGCACAAGTGTAATCACGTTCCCAACCAAGTGAAAACCTGGACTGTTCACGGCCTGTGGTAAGTCTTTGAAACATTTCCCTAACCCCCAGTTTGTTAACCAATATGTATTTTTGAATAATGGTTTCAACCAACACAGTTTATCTTTTAATTATTTCGAATTAATTTCTTATCCTTCTTATCAAGACTCTCCCAAAAGCAAATAGTTTAAAAACCAAACAAAAAATGATAAATAACAAAAAAAACATAAAAATTAAATTTCAAAAATATCATTAAGGTGATGCATTCAATATGCATTGTGAAATCGTTCATCCACCACGGCTAGCACCTCAACTGGAATCAACACGTTGTACCATGAGGACATGTGATTTAGAGGAGGTGGTATAGTATGGAATACTGTAAGGGTCATTCTCGCGATCTCGCATTCTCGCGATCTCGACCTTTGGAAACGAGGTAAATATACCCAAAACACGAGAATGCGAGATCGCGAGAACGCGAGATTTGGCCAAAATTGTATCCCGTTGTAGGCCCAACTTCGATGATGAGGAAGTCATGAGCTGCAACAACAGCTGGCATTTTAATTGGGACATGGTCAAGGTAGGCATAATTAAAGTTTTCTAACCTGATATTTTTTTAACTGGTCACTGAGTAGACACACCGTGTCCTGTGTATGTAATGTGTTTCCAGGAAAATAAAATGAATTGCTACTTTATTTTTTACAGTCTGCATTCTTCACTATTTCAGTCACTTGAAAAACAACTGAATGCAAGCTGGCCTAACATGTTGGATAAAACGCGGTATCGGTGGCTTTGGTAGGTGATACACACCTTTATATTTCATTAGTGCCAAAAGGTCCGGCGGAGATATTCTGGTTCTGGGTTCATAACATGATATCACGTTTAAACTGACGTTTTGGCCGACCAATAGTTCTGTTTGTTTGTGTGTTTGTTTGTTTGTTTGTTGTTTAACGCCACACCCAGCAATATTCCAGCTATATGACAGAGGCCTGTAAAAAAGCGAGTGGGGATCCAGTGATTGATATCATGAGCATCGATCCACGCAATTGGGTTACGATGACTTGCATCTACCAAGTCAGTGACCCTGACCACCCGATCCCGTTAATTGCCTCTTACGACAAGCATAGTCGCCTTTTATGTCAAGCATGCCAATAGTTTTTGGTAGCATCTAGCTACAGGTACGGACCGACCATGTGCACCCCAGTACTTCTACACTATGTTCCTTCACCATTACTATATTCTCTGCTTTTCAGGAAGCATGAATGGCAAAAACACGGCACTTGCGCTGCAACCCTAAAAGCCACCGACAACCAGTTGCGCTACTTCCAAAAGGCTCTAAGTCTCAACAGTATTTCTGCATTTAATCCACAAAAGTAAGTCATTAGCATTAAACACTGTTCGTGGTCGATCTTTGCGCTTCCATTCAATCCTTCATACCTACTCTCTCTTGGTCGATCTTTGCGCTTCCATTCAAACCTTCATTCCTACACAATATGAATTTGCCAAAATAATTATGGCTGAAATATTTCCGACCTTAATTTTTAATTCGTGCAAGCCTCGGTTAGATAAATACTGCCTCAACCGATGTTACCGTACACATTAAAGAAAGTTGATATGCACTCATAGCAAACACTGTTATACGGATTTGTTTTTATTATTATGACAGGGCGCTTGAGAAGGCTGGCATCACTCCATCATGTTCGAAGGCATATTCCGTGAGTAAATGTTTTACGATAGGGTGGTGTGTGTCTCTGAACGTTTTCCCATCAAATCAGAGCAGCTTTCTACTGCTCTCCGGTGGACGCCATCTGTGTCAACCTTATTTCTGGCCCAACTTGTGAGTCTCAGTTCCCTTTCACGGCTACATGTGTCTCACACTGATCAATTGTGTTCATCTTTATCGGCCGTGTGTGTTAATCTCTCTCGACCCTGTGCTTCATTTGTACATGATTTTTTATCAGCCGTGTTCCTGTGATCCATTTGGACATTCGTGTTTATCAATCTCGTCCCTGTGCCTAGACATGGGGGCGGTCGGGTAGCCTAGTGGTTAAAGCGTTCGCTCGTCTCGCCGAAGACCCGGGTTCGTTTTACCGACATGGGTACAATGTGTGAAGCCCATTTCTTGTGTCCCCCGCCGTGATATTGCTAGAATATTGTCAAAAGCGGCATAAAACCATACTCACTCACTCATTTAGACATGTGTGTTTATCAGTTTCGTCCGCGTGCTTTATTTGTGTATTTGTCAATCTCGCTCATGTGCTCCTTTTGGACATGTCTGTTTATCAGTCTCGTCATTTATACACGAGTGTTTACCAATCCAATTAAAATGCTTCATTTGAATATGCGTATCAATATCGAACCGTGTTTCATTTGGACATGTGTCCTAATCAACCTCGTTCCTGTGCTTCATTTAGACATATATGTTTATAGTGGTTCAAAGTGGTTCCATCTGACAATGTGTTTTTCATATTTCTCCATCCTGCGTTTCATTCTGACCATGTATCTCTATCATTCCCCATCATTGTTTTACGCGGATACTGTGTGTTCATTCGTCTTGACCGGGGTGGTTTATTCTCGACCATGTGTTTCACGCTAGTCCGGACACTCTCTGTGGTGTATACGGAATTCTTAGATCAACATATTTCATCGTGGACTTCTGTTTCTAAAACCACGGGTACGTTTGTATAACCTTAAATAGAAATAAATAACAAAGTAACGATTTACATTACAGATCGATGCCATAAAAGATGCTGTCAAGAAGTACTTCCGGATCAACACGAACCTGAAGATGAAGTGTTCTAGGCAAACAAAAATGGTAAAAGTCATAGTGAGAGTGTAAATAGTGTTAAATTACAGCTTTATCACAGCGATATGTGAAGTGACTGAACCTGGACTAGACAAACCAGTGGTCGGTAATAGGAGAACCACATATTCACATTCCGAAGACACAACACAATCAACCATGTCCTACACCACACGTACTTTAGTGTTCCAATCATATAATATTATACGTGGCAGCCCTAGTGGGCCCGCAAGTAAAAGACACCAGAGAATAGTTTCCATAGTTTCTATGGAAAAAGAAAATATAATATCTTACACACAAAACTGAGATACATGTGCAGTCAATTGAATTATGATTTATATAGAATTGGTATAAAAGATCACCCGAACTGTACATGTTCGAATACATGTGAAAATGCATATCATTATCTCATGGAATGTACAATGTTTAGTCATCAGCGTGAAATTATGTTAAACAGCCTTAATAATATTGTTCATAACATACCTGTTGATGTACAGTTACTATTAAACGGCAATTCAGATCACGTTGTTACAGAAAATGAAGCTATATTTAAGGCAGTACAACATTATATATGTACAACTAAAATATTTGTGTAAAGAACTGTTCATTTAACAATGTATCTCTCTCTCTCTTACTCTCTCTCTCTCTCTCTTACTCTCTCTCTCTCTCTCTCTCTCTCTCTCTCTCTCTCTTTCTCTCTCTCATCTATAGTGTTGTATGCATTTATATTGAATTTGAAATTGCGAAATTTTTGTAAATACCAGGGAGAGGGCATTCTAAGTTGGAAGAACTTGTCCCCCAATCCCGTTCACTCCTTGTGAATAAATATGTTTAATTCAATAGTTTCCATTATCTACCTGAACAGATTCCATTGGGTGTAAAAGACAAAACCAGACCATCGGCCGTTAGATCACTACACAATATACCTGATCTCAAGGGTGATTTAAGAAATAAGCAAAACTTCTAGAAATTGTCATGGAAGTCACCATTCCCGGCCATGCGTTTGCTGGTGGACTAAAGTCCCGGAGCGCCATCACAAGCACAGTAGCTATTTACTATGTCAACTACAAAAGAAATATTTGGGCCGACTCATTATAACTGCCCGACAAACCCCCTCCCCCATGCAAAACGAAAAATTGTTCCTTTAACTTGTAAGCAGCAGAATTTCTCTACATGAGGCAGCACACGAAATAACAAATTAACATTGTTGTTGTATTTGACAGGGTCAATGAGCGCGTTATTGAGTCACTGGATTGTCTAGCCGGGACTCGACTATTTACGTTTACAGATCCCCGCCGTGTGGCAGGAGTGCTTCTAAGCAGCTTTGGGCAACAGACAGACACTTACTTTTCGTATGAAAATGGTGTGAGTGGCGGGTGGAGTGTAACACATGCTTAGTCATATCCTTTTTGCGAGCAACTGGTGTCATCACTGATTTTCAGTGATCCATTCATATATCTTCACCACTATTTGACTTTTACGCTGAATGGAATCTATTTCGGCAGAAAATCGAGAATGATTATTCTCTGGTGTTGACGTTTTATATTGTAATGACTCTAAATGAGGATGGTAAAACGGGAATTATAGAGGTGTCAGTAATAATATTTGTAATATTTGAATAGACATATTTCATCCAAGTTGAATTTCTTAGGAAATATTGGTAAAATAATGACACATTTAGTAAATGTACACCCTGGGTAACGGACTTTCTCTCAGTTGTTTTGGAAATTCGAAAAATGTGCCTCTTTCACTTATTTTAGCCATACTTTTCCTCATGTCAGAGTAAGAAATGCAAAGTCTCCTATATTTACAATAGGTATTCTTAACTTTTAATGTGGGCTACATTTCCACCGCGTTTGCTAAGTATTCTCAAAATGTTTTCTCAAACCTTTTTTTACAGGATCGCACCTTGTTGCAGGAGATTCACATAGCTTTGACGAAGACATTCAACGTGACAACGCTTCTTGACCAGCCCCATCCGTCCTGCATGCCTAAGGACAAAATTTACATCCTCCCATTCCACGACATCCATTGTTCCAAATAGAAATTCAGCTGTTGTGAAGTATAGATTAAGACTGCAGTACGGATCTGAACTGCACTGTAATATGCTTTTGTAAAACAACACTTTTGACCAATGACAAGTCAGGTTCATGTTCCCTTTCGATGGCGTTACTTTAGTGATCGATATCTTTCAGCAGCTTTACTGAATCACTGTAGTCTGTAAATAAACGAGATTGAACAGACAAACCAGTGATTGAAAGCATGAGCAAGGGCTCCCTACATCAACCCTTTCTTCTCTCCTCCCTCAATAAAAAATAGAAAGGCCGAAAAGAAAACCTCCGCGCGGGTGTTACATTGCATTCAGAACCAATATACATAAGGAAACATGTCAGCAAGGAGGGGGGCATAATTAGTGTCCCTGGGGTTGCTTTCTTCTTTTGCCTAAATGTCCTATCGCCAAATTGCACATTGCTATCAACAGGCTAGTCCAGCATTTCACTTATAGGTTTCTCAGTAGGCTTATATGATGTTGCTCTGCTACAAAATAATTCGAGAGAACCCCGAATGCGTTGGGAGGTATCCCTTGCGCCATTGATTTGTCAGGAGCGGGATGTACGGGATTATACGAGAAGTAAGTACGGGTAAGCCTTCGACTTTCGGTCTCGTGGTGCCGGTTTAGCTTGTAATATCCCGTACACTATGGACACCTAGAGACCGAAGATGGTGTTCACCAACGTTCTCCTCGTAAAATCGCTACTGACACATACAAAGAATTTATCACGAGTTACAAAGATCTGCTCTCAAATTGGAAGAAACTATTTGTGTGCGACAATTAGAACTATTTTCGACCACCATTGCAACTTTGTTGATATCCGTTTTGTATGAGCTCACCTGACTAAAAGTTAAGTGAGCTTACGTCCGGTGACCCGGCGTCTTCGTCAACATCTGTAACATCGTCAACATCTTCTGTTCAGAAACATCCTTGACCAATGAAGCTGAAACTTCGCATGCTTGTTCCAACCAATGGTGACACCTGCATTTTAAGAGGTTCGGATTTGTAGATGTGTAACGAGTCGTAGGGCTCAACATTTCTTTTCTGTTTTGTGCAGTATTAGATTTTAACTTTGACTTTACCTGTGCAGTTCGACCATACTGAAAGATGAAACTTATAGCCGTTACCAAGCCATTTGTGTTCAAAATGTGATGGAATTCTCTCAAAAAGCATGTCCTGGCACTGTAAACATAATATCCTCAGAAACCTCTGGAGCCACGAGGCTTCAATACTTAATAATTTGTTAAAGAGGTTTATATTGGACAACCATGTTGAAAAACATGTTTGTGGCCACTGTTCAGCCCTTTCTGCTTTAAATGTACTGTAATGCTCTTACATTCTCTCAAAATGCGTTTTTCTCTGTAAACAATTAACATCTTCACCTCTGAAAATGCCAGACTAAGGAAGCTGAACTTTGACACGTATCTCCTAATCACATAATATTTTGTTCTCTTGATTACGATTTTGGCGTGTTTGTGTGAAACAATTTGAAACAATATATGACATCAGAAAAAAAAATTTCTTAAAAGGTATATATGGCTCAGGGTTGAAACTTTGTGTGAAGTAAATTTAAATATTGTGTAGTGCAACAATGTTCTACAGTAATATGTCAGTAATATTAAGTCATTCTTGCAGTGTTAGAAATATTAAGGAATAACTTGTTTCATATTTGGTAATAATTTATCCCCAATATTTATGCAGAATATATTTGAATAGCAATGCCGACAGTAACGTTTATTAAGTTGTAGTCTTTGTTGATATATTAACCTGTTGACTACATATCTAGGTGAGCTACATTGCCACGACACTATTTTATTTTTGTCTATTCACCTTTCAGAAATGAGCTGGCGTTTCCATAATTAAATAAAGCAGACATATTGATCATCTCATTTTCATTTCTTTCATAGCTACGAGGGCAAGTTAATAAATTCAAAGAACAAGATAAACTTTCTACACCAACAAATGTTTGGATTGGTCGGAAAGCGTGTTCTTTCGTACTCCAGTCTCATCAATATCAAGTTTCTTCTTCAAGATATTATATTAGGTTCTAATACACAAAATCAGAACCGGTTGCGACAGAGCCTTCAATGCAGATCGAGAGATATATGCAGGCTGCGTTTGGATGATATTGTGTAAGATGTTTATGTCTGTTAAATGTCCATCCATCCAGTAATTAAAACTGCCCATATTTTTCAATATTTGGTGCTGACATTTGTGACAAGATGACTTGTGCTTTATGTGAGCACAGATATTTCAAGTAGGAGACATTTGGTGCGAAACTGGGGATGGTGTGTTCAGCTTCCTGTACTCGGAAAAGGAGCTGGCTAAAGTTTGTGTATTTATTGCAGCTTTAAGGCCAGACTGTGCATATATGTATATGTAATGGCTGTTGAATGCCTAGTTATTTAAAAAAATATAACGTTACTATAGGAGTCTATTGGAAAAAAACATTTGGTTGTGTGTAACTATTCACAAGATATGTGTAACAGTAAACCTACACACCAGAAACCACGCGTATGACAAGATGAGAACCTATATGAACCATCATCACGTTACTCACCGGGGAAGTTGTAAATGCTACAGATATTTGCCAGCGTAGGGTGGTATCAATTCGCGAAGTCCTATTAAAGTCAAATGACGACCCAGCAAACTTTTATGCCACCTTGTGATTATTATCTGTTTCGGAATGTGACGGCCTATTACCGATATGAAGATGCTGAAAGTCTTGAAGACCTCAACAGAAGGGTCGTTGATGGACCTATCATGAGGGTTACATTTCGCTGGCATAAGTAGCTTTGAGGATAAACGGTCCAAGAGCATAATTGAGACTAACGTGAAGTAGTAACTATTTGCCCCACTTGGTATTAAATCCTTTGTTCTTCGAACGTTTAAGCTCTTCCTCGTAATAGTTGTTGTCTATTTGCTGTGCTTGACGCAAATATCACCACCATAGTGGGACGCTGAGTTAGCTTTGTGTAAACCTATTTCTGGTGTATTATTGCTGGAATATTACTGTACGTGGCGTGAAATCATTGTTATTATTACCGTCATGCACCGCGTTACTTGTGTGTCGTGTTTCAAGCAGGACGCGTTGTTTCGCTACTAGCGTAGCTCTTTAGAGCCGAGAAATCATCAACAAGAAAGAGCATCTGTTTGCGTTTGATTGATCGGCACTAACAACACTTCATTTATGCTGCGGCGTGTCACCTTGATGTTGGAGGAATGCCCGAAGATATGCAAGTACTAGACCTTTACTATCTTGGTTTGTTCAATCAGCGAGCACGGGTAGGATGCAGACAAACTTAGAAACATTATTAGAGAGAATCTGGGACTCGAACCCATGAAGATAGGTTTCCGGCGTCAGGACGAAACCTCACTGAGATCTCACCGAGTGGACAGTTAACGTTATCGTATAAACTACTCCAAAGTACTGTCTGTACCCGGCTTATTCGCTTGCAGTGAACCTCGTTAATCCCAACGGTAAAGTTACAAGTGACATTGTCCGGATTAACCAATCATGGTTAAGGAGTAATGTCCATTTGTATGTACAAGAACGGAGGTTTCCGGACAAACAAGGTTTCACGATTGTCTTGTACCCAGGAAACACATCAAATGACCACCAGTTAAGGCCACAATTTACGAACTCGCTTTTCTTGAACCAAATAAATAATAAGCGTTGTATCTCTGATCTCTAGCCATTGGTGGTTCAACAGAGAATACTCTGTTCTAGTTCCATATGTGAGAAGTGATGTGTACGTTTGTGGTGGTTGTGGTGGTGCTGGTGGTACACTTGAGATGATGGCGACTGCAGTTGAGGTGATGATGACTACAGTGTGACGACTACAGTTGCGGTGACGACTACACCTTGACGACTACAGTTGTGATGTTGACGAGTACTGTTTAGTCAATGACGACTACAGCTGAGTTGGTAACCGCTACAGCATGCCGACTACAGTTGAGTTGATCTCAGCCCCTTGTGCTGACATAGGTTACTGTGACCTTGTAGTTTCATTGTCTTAACGAGCATTTAACGTGTAAGGTGCATGTAGGGTGTTTCATCTGCTATGATCCATAGCTCACACTTTTAACAACATACATATGTATCGCTTAACCATAATATGCCACAGTGTTATAACAATTAATACAACAATACGCCTTGCCTTACAAAATACCGTGACCCGTGAAGATTCCGGGGTAGAATAGGTCTTCAGCAACCCATGCTTGCCGTAAAAGGTGACTATGCTTGTCGTAAAAGGCGACTAACGGGATCGGGTGCATGGTCAGGCTCGCTGACTTGGTTGATGCATGTCATCGATCCCAATTGCGTGGATTGATGCTCATGATATTAATCACTGTATTGTCTGGTCCAGACTCGATTATTTACAGACTGCCGTCACATAGCTGTAATATTGCTGAGTGCGGCGTTAAAAAACAAACCACCCAACCAACACAATACTGTACATGTATATAGTTACGCATGATGAATCGCCTATTACATCAGTTGTGAGCAAAACACACCTGTTAGAGACATAAACAAGTTAAAAAATCCATGTTTCTTTCGGTATATACTGACCAGAAAATTTGAACTATAAAGTTTTATTTTTATTTGATATTTCCTCATTTTCAACCCTGTCTTTGCTGGACATTTTGGAGTACCTCTCTCTCGTCGATTCCGGCATAAATCCATGTATATAGTCCTCTGAAGTCAACCAGATATCTCCTGTACTTCAAACTGTTTAGCCCATCAGTCGTCATTCGATCCAATCCAGACCTCAAATAATTAAATCTGAAACGGCAATTTGAATAAACCCAAACGTACATCATGAATAGCACCTCTATTCTCTACGTTGTGCCTTTACTTTAAATTTTATTGTCATTTTCAACAGGACAAGGTTGTCTTCGTCAGGTAACACATGTGTATATGTTGGCACAGTCTACCACACCTACACCAGGTCTTACACTATTTAACTCTTCACTCTTAACACAGTTCAGTTCTGGTGTCCCCAGCCGTGATAGGCCGCCTCCCTGGTCTAGTGGTAGAGCGTCCGCCCGGAGAGCGGAAGGTCCGGGGTTTGATACCCGGCCGCGTCATACCAAAAGACGTTAAAAGATGGTACTTGTTGTTACCTTGTCTAGCGCTCGACATTAAGGGGCTAAAATAAGTACTGGTCGGCTCGGAGTCAGTATATCTGAGCGGGGTACTCAATAAACTGCGGCATGATATCTCAAAGGGCTCGCACTATAAAATTGGCAATAGGCACTAGTACAAGCAGCCAAACACACACACACACACACACACACACACACACACACACACACACACACACACACACACACACACACACACACACAGAGTTTAAATGTGCATTTCAGCGATGTTAAAAAATCTGATTTATCATTAAAAAAATATGGCCTCATGCTGCTGTAAACTACTCCAAATTCGAATCGCACATATATTACATGAAGCGTGTGCTTTCATTTTAAACCTGGTCTCGGATTTTACTCTCTCTCTTATGCGTGCGTCTCTCTCTCTCGCTCTCTCTCTCTCTCTCTCTCTCTCTCCTCTCTCTCTCTTTCTTTCTCTCTCTCTCTCTCTCTCTCTCTCTCTCTCTCTCTCTCTCTCTCTCTCTCTCTCTCTCTCTTAATATATATGTTACCTGCTAGGATTTATCCAGCTCTGTGGGTGAGTGAGATCCAAGTACAGGGAGGCATTCATCGGATATCTGACTACGTGGTAACCTCTTTCACGGACCCTACAAAAGAACATTATTGTGACAGGCTATGTATGAGAACAAACAGGAGTCTCAAAAAACAATATAACTGTAACAATATACAAGTACATTTCACATTTCAAACCATGATACAGTATAATTAGTTTATAACTTTCCCCCCTTTTTCCTACCTCCCTGTGAAGGCATGAAATAATAAACCCATTGCCTGAGATGACAAGGTTTGTTGACATTTATGAACTTAGAAGAAATTTCACAAGATCCCAACCTTCGTGCATGAACAGGTACCTGTAGTAGATGTCGTCGTCCTCCCCTCCCCAGTCGAAGTACATGTTGGAGTAGCCGTTCACTCGTCTAAACACATCTGGCTTAAAGCTCACCACGCCGCCAAATCGTACTGGGGGCGGAATACTGAAAGATGTAAGAAGTGAATTTAGTTGAATGCCATTTGTGACGGAATTACAGATGGGTGTGGGAGGAAAACCCCACATGCATGGGTAAGGTGTTGACAGTCCAAGGATGATACTATGATACACATCTGGGAGCCGAACCCAGGGTAGGGAGGTACGCAACTCGTGGCAGCTGATTGCGGCGCCTTTGAGTGAGTGAGTGAGTGAGTGAGTGAGTGGGGTTTAACGCCGCTTTTAACATAATTCCAGTTATATCAGCGTGTCAGCTTAATGTGGGAGGAAAGCCCGAAGTGATGCAGGTCTCAGACGTTTACCACGAGCACCACGAAACCCACGAGCATGGGTATGGCGCTGACAAACCTAGAAACATAATTTGGGCGAACCGGGATTCTGGCGTGCCCAAGGGACGCACCTCTGCACAGTGAATCGCGGCGCCTTAGACTACTGGGCTACCGCGCCTTTGAGAATTGGTCAATCCGTGACCCAGTGTATATGATCAGGTAGTGCATATAGCTTTAAGTAGTCACAGAAGGACTATAAGCTTTGAACTTCTACAACGCTGTATAACTGAAGTACTTTGCAAAGCATCGCTAAACTCACACACCATTGACAAATAGTTTACAAATAATAATAATTATGATTATTATTTATGGTTAAAGAATATTTGATTATACATCGTGTTATATTCATTGTGAACTCTGTTGTTCGTGAACTAACTACACGAAATCTTGAAAGAAAGCCACCATAAGTCACCGGTGATTCCAGCGCTCCAAGTTGATTGAGTGAAAGCGTGGCATGTCGTCGCAGATGTAGGCGTTGGCGTCTACTTGCGGGATAAGGTCGATGTCGTGGAAGACATAACAGTCAAAGCCACACATTTTTTCACCTTCAACGAAGCCGATATTCCTTGACATCCCTCTGTTAAATCTGGAGCCTGGTGCCTATAATATATAAGATGACAAATTGTAAACGTAAAGGAGGACACGAGTGGGCCAGTCGTCAAAGGCATCCACATTCACTGTGCACAGGCGTGTCAGATACCTGTGATATTGGGTCCAAATCAAGGTTCACCCATTTAATTTCCTAGTTTGTCAGCGCCATACCCGTACGCGTGAGTCTAACGCCCGTATGAGTAGTTGCTGTCCTTCCACAAACTAACGCACCTGGTATAACTGAAACACAGTAAACCGTTCAAAGCGGCATTGAAACAAACTCACTATAAAAATGTAAATCATGGTTATTTTATCATCATCTTTAATTGCGCCACAGAGGGAATCATTGCCGTCCAAATGTAGAAGTTGAAATAAATAATTCTGTCCAAGCAAACAATAATACCAGACGGCAGAAACTATTACTTTACTTTTTGTAACATATACTAAACAAAACATTTATTCCAGCCCACACTCTTAGAGTCACAAAGTCAGCGACCTTACCCACGCAGCCACCGAGGCTCCCACAAAAAATGGAAGTACGACAATTGGTATCTAGATCACGTATTTTGTATACCCCTCTGATAAGTGTAGATTGGCACGGCACCCATGGCCGAAAGCTTTGAACAGACAATGACTGTTAGAACGTGGTCAAATTATGTTATATTTGGGATTACACTTTCATAGTAAAGTGGAAATACTGGTATCAAGTCTTTGAATGTGATTTTGTAGAGATACACACGAGAGAGAGAATTTATGAATGACTACTTCTTTACATGAGGAACATTTCAGATTATCTGCTAACTCAGCTGAATGAGTAAGGTGTAAGCATAAACTCCGAAACGTTGTGTTCCTCATGTAAAGAAGTTGACATCCATAATTCTCTCTCTTCCAAATTCTGGTACTTTCTTGAGTGGAATCCACCCAGGATAGGAACCTAATTTACTTGTGATGGGGATAATAAGATGTTGGATCCAGTCTTGGCCATTAATACATACATATATTATACATACATAAGTACACATCCATCTTCAATTTGGTACATGCAAATAACAGTTTGCGACTCGTTGCCGGTACCTAAGTCGGTACTAATTTTCAATGTTGGTCAATAATACATTGCATTTAGTCTTCATATGAACATGTGTTATAAATTTGTGAAATGTACGAAGGTATTGTCAAACCTGTTCTACAACAATAATCATGTACTGTATGCCTTGTTTATTCAGGAAGTAGTGCACGTTTTTCAGAAATATCTTGAGATGGGAGGTTCTATCTCGGTATGGCACCACAATGGCCACTCTCTGGACGGGCGCACACCCTCGCGGAGTGTACATTCCTCCAAGCTCCAAGCGTTTCCCGTGGATGCCTTCCAGTGCTTCTAAAGTCTGGGGTATAACGTCGATGGGGATGAGTTTCCTAGCTGAAATATACCGTGACAAGTGTACAAATCACCAAACCTTACCACCCGGTCCATGTTTGTGTTGGTTTGTTGTTTTACGCCGTACTCAGCAATATTCCAGCTATATGACGGCGGTCTGTAAATAATCGAGTATGGACCAGACAATCCAGCGATTGATATCATGAGCATCTATCCACGCAATTGGGATTCGATGACATGCATCAACCAAGTCAGCGAGCCTGACCACCCGATCCCGTTAGTCGCCTCTTACGACAAGCATAGTCGATTTTTATGGCAAGCATGGGTTGCTGAAGACCTATTCTAAACCGGATCCCCACTGGTCCCGGTCCATGTACATCCGGTCAATGTACATCCGGTACATGTACATCCGATCCATGTACATTCGATCCATGTGGCTGCCTCGTACGACAAGCATACATTTAGGTTGGAGACCTATTCTGTGTGCGGGAACCAACCAAACCATCGAACCTGACCACCGGTCCATGTAGCTCCCTAAATAGTCAAGCACAGTTTTCTAGGGGCCTTATCCCATGTAATGCAACCAACCAAGCCTTCGAGTCTGACCCCCGGTCCGTGTAGCTGCCTCATACGTCTAACATAGTTTGCTAGGGACATTTCCCATGTAACGAACCAACCAACTGATTACACGGTTCATATAGCTGCCTCATACATGCACAGACAAGCATAGTTTGCCGGCGACGTATTCTGACCCCGATGAGATACATAAAGTGGGTGTATACGCAGCTAACGTGTAATGATTATATAGGAGAACTCCTTCACAACATTTGAGAACAAAGCACGTGTATGTCCAGGGGCATGTTAATGCGACTCACCTGAGGATGTTACGACTGCTTGGCATTGTGGCATGTTTACAAGTTTAGAACCATTGTGTGTTAAGCAAGGAGAGCGTCCAATAAAGATAGTCTCTGTGTCATTACGAACCTCCTCCCTGGGCGTTGCATCAGATCGTGGAGGCATGCATGTGTTCAACACATAGAGGTTGTCCTTTGTTACAATGCCAATATTTGCTGGCTGTGTCGACGATCTTTCCAATACAAATAAGGTAATAACCATACCTAGAGTGACCACTCCGATAAGGCCAACCTTTATTTTCTTCCGTGACAAGGGCATTCTGAATATAAACGTAATGGTTTTCAAAACGATGACTTAATCACATTAATCCATTTGAATCTCTCTTAACTCCATGTCCAAATGGTTAGCCCGCATCAAAGTGAATGCAATATGTATGGGCTACACAGGGCTATATATCTTACTCTTTGGCTATAGGTCATGATTGGACCGCAGATAGTTTGTACTGGCTGTCACAGTTTAGTCATGTGTGTGTGTTAAGTAACCTATATACAGCACTCACTTCCCACATTGCCGTCATGTCATGTTGTTTCTTCTAAAGAAGTCGATGAAATAGTGTCAATAGTGACCACCTCAATGACATTGGCTTGCAATGTAGTAGTATGATTACACACACTTCAAAAGGGTTTTATATTTCCGAGAATGGTCAAATACAAGGAAAATACAACGCATGATCCCTTTACTATGTAACGGCACGTCCAGTAATTTGAATCTTTCAACACAAACATTGTAATGCTAAGTGCTACGACCGCTGATAGTACATTCAGATATGCTATGCCCACTTGTTTCAAGGACTGCACCGTGATATAACTTGACTAATGTTCAAAGCGGCGTTAAACCCAACTCACTGACACACTTTAAAGGACTTATATAGAATTATGTTGGCTGTCGTAAGTAAGATGAATGAGAGTGAAAAGTTTGTGTATTGGCAATGTTCCCAACGGCATTTGTACCCAGGGTCACAAAATAGGAACGTATTAGTCAGTTGGACAGAAGTGTCTCACACCTTCTCGTTCCTACATTGTCCGGTGCACCTATTTTTTTCTAATGAACAGTGGGCTCCCTGCGCACAATTTCTGACTGTCAGTAAGAATGCAGGCGTTTAAGTTGATGTTCAGTGGGAAATATTGCAATATGTATGAGACATATTCATTACGCTAGATATATATAGTGTAATGAATATGTGACCTCTCTATCAATATATGTCACACACCCCTCTATCAATATGTCACACATCTTTTTATCACTTTATGTCACACATCTCTCTATTGATATATGTCAAACTCCTCTCTATCAATATATGTCACAAACCTCTCTATCAATATATGTCACACACCGTTCTATCAATATGTCAAACTCCTCTCTATCAATATATGTCACAAACCTCTCTATCAATATATGTCACACACCGTTCTATCAATATGTCACACACACCTCTATCAATATATGTCACACACCTCTCTATCAATATATGTCACACACCTCTCTATCAATATATGTCACACACCGTTCTATCAATATGTCACACACCTCTCTATCAATATATGTCACACACCTCTCTATCAATATATGTCACACACCGTTCTATCAATATGTCACACACCTCTCTATCAATATATGTCACACACCGTTCTATCAATATGTCACACACCTCTCTATCAATATATGTCACACACCGTTCTATCAATATGTCACACACCTCTCTATCAATATATGTCACACACCGTTCTATCAATATGTCACACACCTCTCTATCAATATATGTCACACACCGTTCTATCAATATGTCACACACCTCTCTATCAATATATGTCACACACCTCTCTATCAATATATGTCACACACCGTTCTATCAATATGTCACACACCTCTCTATCAATATATGTCACACACCTCTCTATCAATATATGTCACACACCTCTCTATCAATATATGTCACACACCGTTCTATCAATATGTCACACACCTCTCTATCAATATATGTCACACACCGTTCTATCAATATGTCATACACCTCTCCATTACTATATGTCACACACTTCTCTATTGATATATGTCACACACCTCCCTATAAATATATTTCACAAACCTCTCTTTTGATATATGTCACACACCTCTCTATAAATATATCTAACACACCTCTCTATCAACATATGTCACATTCCTCTCAATAAATATATGTCACGCACCATATCATGAGCTTGTGTTTATGAAACACAATCATAAATAGGTGAGCGTATCCGTAGCCTATATGTCCGTAACCAGGTAACGGCCGTGTCAACAAAAAAATCACTACATGTGTTGCCTTGACTTTTTTTTTGGGGGGGGGGGGGGAATAACGCCCTTTACGTATTCCTATCAAACAGCCATGCTTCATTTTTCATTCTGTAGTCGTGATCAGATGTCATTATTACTGAAACAGCTCTGAACTCAGCGAGAACGAAAAGAAAAAAACAGACATGAATGCGATATATAATCCGTCTCACTGGTGTTATGTATTTATACCCTTTTAACGTGATCTGCCTGAACGTCTGCCATAAACACAATTCAACACGGTTTTACGAGACGCCATATCGGAAAAATAAGACGATTAAAAGATGCGAAATTTATTTGTTGAGACTGATACATATTGTACATGTATAATTTTATACCAACGTAATAAGTAGTAGTAGTAGTAGTAGTAGTAGTAGTAGTAGTAGTAGTAGTAGTAGTAGTAGTAGTAGTAGTAGCAGCAGCAGAAATAGCGGCACAAACATTACACAGGGCGTTAAAGACACCTTGTAAATAAACAACTTTCATAATCGCATCACACCTTCATGTAAACATGTGTACACCCACCAACCCACCAGCCCCATCCAACGTTATCAATATTCACTCAATCTTATCACATCCTCACCCCCAACCCCACCTCCGTGAAATTCGTACCCTTAGCCCCTCCCTCTTCCTTCCATGTACAAAATACTCACTGCTCAAACTGTTCTCTCTAGGCGTTGTAGAATGAACTTTCCACAAGAAAATGAATGTCATCTTCGATATCTTGTTAATCACAAAGAATCATTTAAAGGTGGAACTGGTTTGTTGTATCTGCCTTGTTAAACATATAGATATTAAATTACTTTTGATTTTAACTATAATAGAAAACAATAAACAAGAATAAGAAACCTATAACGAGAAATATTGTCATTGGTGACAATGTCAAACTGTCAAGTTCCTCGATAGGCCGCCTCGGCTGACGCATGGATCTATATATATATATATATATATATATATATATATATATATATATATATATATATTCTGTTTGTTCAATTGCGATATTATCAAAATGTTAACAAATTATGTTATAATTTGTACTAGTCCAGACTGATGCCGATTTATAGTGCTAGCCCACTGAGATACCATGCCGCAGTTTAACATGAATACCCCTCTCAGACACAGTATACTGACTCCGAGCCGACCAGTCCTTGTTTTAGCTCCTTAATGCCGAGTGCCAGACAGGGTAATCGTACCCCAGACCTTCCGCCCCGGGCAGAGATCTACCTCTAGACCACTGAGGCGGTCCTAGTCAATGTAATTTCATTTTGTTCATTAGCAACAATTCAACTTCTGATTTTTTGGTATAGCGGTGCTATTGTATATCTTTAATCATATTTACTTGTTCCTAAAAGGGGAGCATGAAAGAATATATTGGGTCACTTTTTCGAGTTTCCATTCTGAGTAAGGAAACCAGTATAGCCTTATCCAGGTCACGTACCACCTACATGTATGTCTGAGCAACAATTTGTTTGCTTTGAACTTTCCTTCTCAAAGGATGCACATCTTAGTACTGATCGGAGCCTTTTCATTCACTGATTCACTGTCCCCGGGGAAGTCGTGTATATCATCGTATCCCAACTGCTTGTATCGATGCTCATGATGTCAGTCACTGGATTGCCTGATCAAGTTTAATTATTTACAGACCCAAGTTTTATAACTGGAATATTGCTGCATGCGGCTTTAAACCATACTGATTCAGTGAGCTGAAATGTTTTTTTTTTACTACAGTCATTTGTTGCATTAATGAGTGTCAAGGTGGGAAATGTTACATTTTTATCCTTTGAGTTAATAGTGAGTGAGTTGGGTTTAACGCCGCTTTTGACATTATTCCAGTTATATGCGGTGTGTCAGCTTAATGTAGGAGGAAAGCCTGAAGTGATGCAGGTCTCAGACGTTTACCACTTCGGTGAAACCCACGAGCACGGGTATGGTGCTGACAAACAGAAACATAATCGGGTGAACCTGGATTCGAACCCACAATCATAGGTTTCTGGCGCACCCAAGGGACTCAACTCTGCACAGCGAATCGCGGCGCCTTAGACGACTGCACCCCCCCCCCCCCCCCCCCCCCCCCCGATCATCATTAGTACAATACAATATAATACAATGCAAAATAGTTTATTGTAGTCTCGTACCGTATACAACAAGACAAGTACCACAATGCATTATGTATTGACCAGGTAGAGAGACGCACGCATAACTGTGACTCCAAAAACTATTATTGATGTTTCAGTGATGATAAACAGGCACACAAAATCCCTTCAAATTCCATCCACTGGAATACCATTTCTTGCGTGTAATGACGGATTTAGAACATGGGGCACTGATCGGCTGTCCTACTGCAATCCAAGTTATAGGATTACACGTGTTGCCGGATAAAGACGTGGAATCAATAAGAACTAATAACAAATCCAAGATAATCCCTCCTAACCACCCAACGATATGTAGCCAATGCAGTATATCCAAATACATCCTAATTACCCAATTATTCCTCAATTGAGATGTCATTCTGGGGACGAACCATTCAACCCCATGGTGTTAGTCTGGTGTAACTACAGGTAGTCATGCATGATTACAGCGATTGACTCAGTTTCGCCGGGACATCGCCACACAGTGTGGTGGGCCACACCACGGGTTCTATGTCCGTGGGATGCTTTCTGAACAAATTATCATGAGCAATACACCTACAAAGAGGTGTGCTCTGTTTCAGTAGAGAGCTGTTACCACGGTAAGAGTCTGAAGGTAGTGATTTGCGCCATAATTACGTGGAAACAAACTTCAAATGTTTATCCTTTTCATATTCCATCCATTGTCCCTTTTGATATTTCGACATGATCTTGTTTTACTGGTAATAGTAGGGTGTCTTTAAGAACAGGTAAGCCATTACTTTAAGTAGATACGCCATTTCCCAGTTGCGATAATTTTGTTTGAGTCATTGGATTTGCTTATTTGTTGTTTATGAAGCCTGAATACCATTCTCTTATTCTGGTATTTCTGTATTATATGACAGCATTACCACTACAAGTGGCATAAAATATCACTTACGGAATACCTGACATAATGATATATAAGAATTAAGTGCTCTTCTACATTGTTTACATTTCTTGTGTCACTGATGACAAACGTGTCGGTGATACATTACTAATTATTAAGGGCGGTGGGGTAGCTTAGTGGTTAAAGCGTTCGCTCGTCACGCCGAAGGCCCAGGTTCGATACCGCACATGGGTACAACGTGTGAAGCCCATTTCTGGTGTCCCCCGCCGTTATAGTGCTGTAATATTGCTAAAAGCGGCGTAAAACAATACTCACTCACTCACTCACTCACTCATTACGTTACTTCAATCTCATGATTGAAGTTTTGGGTTCAGTTTTGGGTTCTGGTTACCAGTCTTCGTCATAAACTGTTTTCGCTATCTTATATTGTTGTTAGAAAGAAATGACATTTTATTACGTCAGCAAGACATATCGTTATCCCCAAAAGAAATATGAAATATGTCATTGTGAATGGTAATAACATTGATATTGAACGTCTTGTTCACGTTTTAGGTACCACGATCCACAATGACAAACTGCACTGTAACGTGCTATAACTCGACGGATGGAAGTCAAGTCGACATTCAATCAGAGGCGGAAATATTTGCATTCGTGATGATCACATTGACAATTCTAGGAGTTGGTGGAAATATGCTCTGTGTGGTGGTTCTCTTGCGAGTTCAACAAACAGTGAAAGGAACACGTCTATTGAAACATCTTTCAATCACAGAAATATTCGCCCTCGTGCTCTGCCTCCTCAGCAAAACCTTACCGGACTTCATAACTGCAAGACATATCTCTACAAGTCTAAAGCCGTTTGTGTCTCCTCTTGCGTTCACGGTATACACATACGAAATATACCTGACTGTGTTAATTGCAATGCAAAGAGCACTTGCTTTAACTAAGCCCCTGATGTTTGATATATATGTGCACAAATCTACCATAAACAAGATGTTGATCTTCTTGGGAATCGCATCAATCGCTTTAAGCGTTCCTCATTGGATTGCCCTCAGTCCTCAATTGTACTTTGATCAGGAACTCAACAGAACATGGCTCCACGCAAATGGTAATCCGTACCGAACATCGTACGGATACTCCGTGTTTTATTCGGGATATGTCACCTTCATCGTCCAGTGCTTCATCCCAGTTATAGCTCTCACCATTTCTAACTGCTGTCTAATTTATTCAAGAATTCAAATGACACGGAGGTCCGTGCTGCCAAATGACAACGGTAAAAAACTTATTGTAGTTGTCATTGCCATTACATCTATATCGCTTGTCACACATTTAATTTCTGCAGCAGCAATGTTGTTTCAAGAAAATCCCTATAGTTTAAGATTAAAAGATTTATTCATAGTTGTTAAACTTTCAATAAACTTTGTATTTTATTCCCTCTTTGGTAGAGCCTTTAGAGCAACTTTGTTGATAGTCTGTGGAGTAACGAGGAGTTCTGTCATTGGTAAAACGGCGGACGTAACGTCTATATAATATCATTTGATGGTTAATACATGAACCTAGCATCAATATATCCTTTGTTAATACATGGAACGATATTCAGGGTATGGTAGAACGAGGGACTTAACATCCATATAGCCTTTGCTAAAACACGGAACTGTATTGATAACACTTATGGTTAGACCTGTAGAACAGGTGCTGGTACAATGACAGATAATGGTAACATCGGCATACCTTTATAAACACACGCAGCAACTGACAGGGTACGAGTATTTGTATTAGGCAATTAAAGCAGGAACTGCTGTAATAACGGACTTAACATCCATATTCCCTTATAAGTATAGATAGTACTGGAGAGTATGGAAGTCATTTTAATTTTTGTAATCGTGATGGTTAAAACACGATTGCGATAATACCATATACTAATACCACCATTGCAAATGAATTTCGATAGTACTCTGGCTTCAGTGGACATGGTGCCAGGCCGAACATGTCTCAGCTTCAGTAGATTGTTATGGAATTTGTGGGAGGTACCGCTTATCATGCTTGCTAGTGTAAATGAAATTGTTTATGTGTTCTGACTAGCGGATGGTAAAGTATTAACTATAGGTAGCGATAATATGTATGTTTTTCATTGTTTTCGATAGTCAAAATAGTATCATGTCAAATCTCCATATTAACGCTTGCCATGTATGTATTGTCATCGGACCATAGACAATGCATTGAAAGGCATTGATAATTAAATCATTCGTTACGCCTCTAACAATCATATATATACTACACAGAAACATAGGATCTACCCCTCCACACCATAAGCATGTTTGAAAATAAAGCACTGCTCAACCTATTTGAAATGAGTTAGTATTTTGTTCTGCACTGTTGAAAGGGAGTCACATTCATACATGTATTGAACTTCGAAGGGGATATGAGGTTGCCAGGTCGTTTAAGGCACCACAGTTCCGTCCCTTAGGTTTTTCAGAAGCTATGCACATGAGTTGGAAACTCCAATTTGCCCATGATATGTTTCTAGGTTTCGCCGCACTATAACTGATTTGGTTGGTTTAACGCAACTAGTAAACGTTTACCCAAACCTCACTCAGCCGTGAGACAAAAGTATAAAGTATTCACATCAATTTTTGTAAACCAGGTGAAAAGTTAATGTGCTGATATAAAGTAGACGGAAAATACTTTGATAATGCGGATTATATAGCCTCATATATTGATCAGTACGCCTGGTATAAAAGAGCAAAAAAAAAGGAAGTCAATCCTTCAAATCATTCTCCCTTCTACAAGCCGTTGTACGTCACGAATGTTGATTCGAAATAGCGAGATAGTAACAGAGAATTTGTTTTGTCACTTCTTTTTCTTTGTAAGGAGGTGTCAAACAATCTGATTTGAACCACAGCTCCTATTGTGTTAGGACATCCAGTGACAATTATTATACAGTCAACTACGGTTATAACGAACTCACAGGCACCACTAAGTTTGTTCGTTACAACGTAGTTCGTTATAAACATGTTTACAGCTTATATACAGCAAATGGCCGTGGCAAAAAAATAGTTCGTTATATCCGTCAGTTCGATATATTCGGGTTCGTTATAAACGTAGTTTACTGTAATTCTTTTTGTATAATCCTGAAGCCGAATTATTTTTTCCAGTATATAATGGGCGTTTCTGAACACAATTACTGACCAGTTATGTTTATATAATTGTGAGGGTTCATTTTCAGGGGATAAACATTGTGACAATTAAGTGAAAGTTGGAAAGTTATAAAGGGATTGTTATGAATATGCAGTTATGAAGCGTATTACCTCCGACATTAGCCTATATATATCTTTTGTTCAGTGAATAATATAGAACAATAATATTTTGGCATAGCCATTGTATTGCAATACGCTACCTATATTAATAGTGTTACCTTCCTCACATTCATGTGAAATGCAATACGCAAAGTTCCCAGATCTTCTACATTTATTGTAACACCTATATCTAATAAATATTTTGTTTGCTTTGATTAAGAACTATAATGTAAAACATTTTTCACAGTATTAAGTTTTTTCATCTTCATGCTTTCACAGTTTACTTCCTGAAAATTATCATAAGAACGGTTAAAACTGTGTGCAGAAACCACCTACTTATAAGACAACGTTATAGGCATACTGGAAACTAGAACTCCGAAAAACAACATTATGAATAAATAATACCGCTTGCTACTGCATTAAAGCAAGAATAGGGAGCTTACGTGTCACTGTGGATAACGAAAAAAACCCAACGCTGATTGCTCAGTGCAATTTGACGACCTTTCAGTGAAGTGTCAAATTCAAGAATGACGCCCTACACACATGCACGGATGAACTGAATGGTTTCGGGTGTTTTGGTGCGTTAGGTTTTGGTTCCGACAACCGTTCTATATCTGGCAGTCATTATCACAGCTCTTTCGTCTGTCGACCGATCATGTATCTGCTGTCTTACCCCCATATTTACACCAGATTTACACTACCCCCAGATCACCCCAACAACTGATTGTTGTAAATATGCTTGCAATAGACAAACAAATCATAAATAGAAAAAGCTGTAAACAGCTAAAGGGAAAAAATGGATTTTTTGTAGCTTTTGCTTCTGATTCCTGTCACAGCTGTTGTTCTATTGACCACAGATGTTTGATATTCTTGAAATCTACGTGTTTTCTCAAGCGTGTAGAGGTTACATTAATTTTATAGCATGTATTTCGCCATTTTGGTTTATTGAAATTTAAATCCACGGACTTACAGAAACCAATCTCATTAAAATCAGATCTTAGTTCTCGCTACCGCTAAACAAAGATCTGAGGACATCCCATTACGGTTCACGTCAGACCGACCTTGCGCGAACTTTGACCGACCAATGGAATGACCAATCAGAAGGCAGCTTTCTCGTGCTTTACGGCACAAATTTCAAATTGGCGTCTACGCTTCGAAACATATTTTGACAAATTCTCGATTACAAATATGAAACCTGAACAAAAAACATTCTGGAATGGCTAATAGATGGTCTAGATTGTAAGGATTCAGTCGTTAAACCCGTAACTATTGTTCGGAATACCCAATGTTAAAGTTTTCGAGATTGCATGATTAGAAATCACATTCCGACTGTCACTTTCATAATCTGGTAAGCGACGCACTGATTGGTCGGATGAAAGGTCGTCTGACGTGACCCCTAATGGGATGTCTTCAGATCTTTGTTAAGCGGTAGCGAGAACTAAGGTCTGATTTTAATGAGATTGTACAGAAACATAAAAATCATGCGCACGAAATGTTAATGCTATTTGTTACCAGTATTAGAAGATACTTCACAATCCTCGTTATGCAGGTAATTTCTGTATCTGACTATTCCTGGTATTTGGCTGCCATTATTAAACCCTAAATGTAATAATTCTATGTCGTTTTTCCCTCAAGGACTAATTTTCCGATTGACACACTCTTTTCAAAGAAGAACTATCATCCAGAAATTTTATTAACAACATAACATATTCCTCAGTAATCCAATGAAATATCGTTTAATTTGCTTGTTTTTAATTAATGATGAACAATGAGAACATCTTAGGTTACATATACAGTCAAGTCTCGTTTAATCGTTAATCCGACAATCGGCTTTATGCGACACTAATGATGGGAACCGATTAAATCAATGCTATTTAGACCCGTTAATCCGACAGTCTCGCACTCCGACTCCGACACACCTAATTTGCAACGAATTACTGAAATCACTCGTTAATCAGTCTCGTTAATCCGACACAGTGATCAGCGCACTCCGTGGTCATCTGCCCGCGAGTACACAGCCTGTGTTTTGATGAGAGACGAATCGGCTGGTAGTTGCGTATTACAATGGCTGCAAAGATAAACTTGCTTATCAATAAACAATTAATGCTTTGAATAAAGAAAACAGGATAAATCACATGCTCAGATTATGGACGAGGACATCCCATTACAGGTCACGTCAGAACAACCTTTCGCGAACTATGACCTACCAATGTAATATGGCTCAATTCAGCATTCTACATATCACACGTTTGATTGTTTGGATGCGCATGTTCACTGGAAATATTTGGAATTGTTTTATTTTGTTTCATATTTGTAATTAGCCAGTCCCCCGTGGTTGTGTGTTGCAATTAGTTGAACAAGGCATCGAGTTGGATACACCTCGGATCTCGCGAGATCTCTGACCAAAAATATTCTGATTAATTACATAGGCGCTTGAATCCTGGTTGCCGAGTTTTCAGACGCACAGTTTTGAAAAATGATCGATGTGCCGGAATTGCGGTCGCGCGGCACAGAGCCAACCCCTGACTTGAACGGAGTTGTGTATTATTGTATTTAGTACCCCATAGTGAAAAAAGTAAAAACGGGTTTGAAAAGACAAAAGTACTAAATGTTTTCCAAGTTTCTGTTTCGATAACGAAAAAGCCTACGATATGTAGCCACTTTTTATCGTACTGTGCGACGAAATTTATTATTTGACAGCATTATGTAAACTGTGAGCGAACAAAATACTGCCTTATATCTGAAGGACATAATGCCACATATATGATAAGTATATGGTTATGTATAACGTGACACATTCAATACGAAAACTTATGTTTTATGTGACGAAAGTCATTTTTCCGCTATGACGTCATAACACGACGGAAAAGTCTTAATGTACATGTACAAAGTAAAAGGAACATAACTCCGCCAAGCTGAACTGTAAGCCCACTGTAACTCTGTATCCGTTTTGTCGTGATCGTGGTGAGACTTTGCTGTCACCAGCCGAGTGGCCAGCGACAATACATTCAAGCATTTGTTTGTTCGTGTGTAACGAAAATATCGATATTGATACCCAGGGTTTCACATCGTTTACGTTTCTGGGAGTTTCCTGAAGATATATTTCAAAGTTGGTAATGTTACAGAAGAATGTCACACACACACACACACACACACACACACACACACACACACACACACACACACACACACACACACACACACACACACACACACACACACACACACACACACACACACACCAAAACAGACAAGTAGTAGCTGAACTTTTAAATGACAATTATTCTTATGAGCCAAATGTGTACAGATTTGGCTGACACAGACATTGCTGACTTCTTAAATGAAAAGAAAAAAGAATAAAACACACGACATGTCAATTTTGACCTCCTACATAACCACAATCGAACATGATCACAGACAAAGTCAAGATATTCCCTTCACTGAATAAAATGAAATGCTGTCAAGATTGTTCATGAGTGCCAGAAAAAGCAATTCTACATTACATGGAATGCTTGCTAGTTTTGACAGGCAATTAAAGTATGGCAAATCACTCTCAAAGGACAGCATTTTAGGGCGAATGAAAACTTTCCTGGTTTCAAAACAAAGACACTTAAAGAGAGAGGGTACGTGCAAGCTATCCTGGTGTCACAACAAAGACACTTAAAGAGAGAGGCTATGTGCAACTTACCCAACAAATCATTCCCTGGCAGATGAGGAAGTAGAAAACTTGTGGTTATCTGGGCAGTCCATAACAAACACTCAGACCCAGGAATTACTGTAAAGTTGACAGCCTCTTTTATCTTGCTTCTGCTTGTAAATGTTGGCCACTTCTGGGCCAAATTTGATTTAAGAGGCAGCCAATAGTAAATAACAACTCGGAAGTATAATGAAAAACTTGACTTCCGGAGCCTACATCACCGGTGACAAACGACTGACGAACCACAGTGCTCGTAAACATCTGATACAAACGTTGCAATACAACAACGTTGCACCAACTGTCGGT